CTTAGGTCAGTGCATCAGATAAAAGTCCAAGTAAATGCAAAATCTAACTTAACTTGGTCAACTTTTATAGCTTGAGGTGCCTTAATTTACCCTGATTTATCTGAAGCTTAATGTTTTATGCCCAGCAAAGTGATTATGCTAGTTTACACATTGTATGTTTTTATTTATGTTTTTACTAAAAATGTACTGACTCGTTTTCTGACTCCACCTCGGCGACGGTAAGTCCCACCATCCTGGTTTCTCAACAAGGGAGCCACTTGGAGAAGAACTGCGCGGTTCCTAATCGCATCGTAGTCCTCGTGTTGTGTGATGCATTTTATCCGTTCAATGGAACCATCAAAAACCATCTTTGCAGATGAATTTGTTACCTCTCTGCAACATCGAAACTCCAGGGAACCAACTAACGTCCCGGTATTACATTGCTTGCAGCGACACCTGAAGAAGACAGCAAAAATGAATTGTTGTCTAACAAAGATTTGCTATAAGTATATATACAAGGAATTTTAAAGGACCAGTTTTACTAACCAGGAGTCTACGTCTACAGTTCTCTCGTATCTAGCCTCCAGAGTTGACGGGGTAAGTCCATCAACATCGGTTTGTTCGCTCGAAACGCCAGTTTCTTCGTCGTTCTCGTCCGCGAGCGGCTCATCTTGATATGGAGCTATCACACCAGTGATAACTCCCCATTCCTCTTCAGAACTGTCGCTTATTCCACAATCCATACTTTCTATAGAGTCAGACGACTCAATACTCTCGGAATCGCTGGACATTTCGAAGCGTGAAACGATAGAATTGAGCGAGTAATCACAGCGTGTTACAAGGAAAACACTGAAAGTTGTTGACCTTGCCAATCATAGGATCAAACAACCTGACGTCACGAGTCCCAATTCTCGGCCCAGTCTCCGGGAACAATTTTACACATAAATTTAGCGTGTTTCGGGCGCTAAAAATCGACCAAAAAAATTGTTTCATTCATTTTAAACTCTCAAACCGTTTATTATACACATGGAACTAGCTATCAACGAAAAAAAAAATTTCGTGTCATATACACTTTAAGCAGAGGTGATATTGACTCATAATGCTACTCTGAATCCAAAAGCGCCGCTTTGTATATCGCCATAAATGATACATATAGTGTTATGTGAATTCTTGAGTAAATCGGTTCGAGCAATGACACTGGGACTTTAAATCACTTTCCACTGTAATGAAAACCTCAGTAGTAAAGTATCCTATACATCAATGACCAACTTTACATTCATGTAATATGATGCGTCTTCTAGGAGTGTAATTTTGTTTTAGTGGCCGAACCTTAAGATAAAATAACTCTCCACATAGGTTTTTGACCCTCTGTGAGGCAAGCTTATTGCATTTCGGTCGTTTTATTATAAGTTTCCTTGGTAAAATATTAAAAACATCTTCAATATATTTAGCTACATGATTGTATCGTAATTACTATGAATAGATGCTTCCTGTTTGTCGCAGTTCAACGCACTTTTTATAGAATTATGCTATTTTTCAAGACTGGAGACATGTATTCTTTGACTTTGTACATGCGATTGGTTTAGCTGACGTATAAATAAAAGAGTTACATAATCCTGAACCTGAGCTAATAAAAATTGCAGTTTGCAGATGCTATTTCTACGAATGTTTATCAGTTATTGCCAATAGAGGGCTTCGACCAGTTCTTACTGAATTGGTTTCAAAACGTAATTCCCCAGAATAAACTTTTGACGAAGGTGATTCTGCCACCAGAATTTCACGTTTTTTAACCACTGTGAGCAAACTCTTCGGACATTAATCAACGCCGAAAAATGAGAAAGGAAGAATAATCGGAACTCGAAACAAAGATTCTGTCTTGCTGAGCGATTGATGACGGTCTGTGACTATTTTTATTAATTCGTCGAATGAACTCGTATTCGACGGTTAACTACAGAATACGCTGGATTCGAATGACATTGAGACGAGTAACCAAGAAACACACCTAGGAGTGTAATTCACAACAGCTTCTGTTCAGTTAAGGCATCACAGAATCCGTTCGTCCAAAGGTTAGCTAAAACTGGTTGCATTTCGTGTCTTTAAAAACACTCACCCGAACTAATTCAAGACGATGCAAGCATAACAGTTTGCATTGTAATAGTGCCCCCCATCCACATAATCCGTGGACTCTGCCATAAACGACAGTTTTTAAACGTGCTTAGCAGAATTTATCACCTCTTCTCCTTTATGGGCAGAATTTCATCAGAAAAGGGAAAATCTTGGAAGCATAGTATCCTCTTCGGGTAAAATTCAGGCCAATTCATGAACAGAATTTACTACGTTATATATTGCAAATACATAGGAACTAAAAGGTAGCTGAAATACGTTTTTTTCATAACTTTTACAGTAGTTATTTAGAATTTGATTCAGCAGTAACTCAGCAACCATATATTACAGCCTACACCATGGTATCTTATTAACGCAAGCTTGTCCGTTTGGAGTTTCATGTTAACGTAAATTTTTTTTTCCAACTTAGTTTCGGTCCTCTGAAAAATTGCATTCACTAAATTAGTGTTACGAGACTTACAAACCGCACACGAAAAAAAAAAAAATTCGTTTTGAAACAATGAGAATGCTAAGTTTCTTGTCGATGATATCGGCACCTAAAAAAAAAACACTTGTCGGAAAAACTGACATACAACGATATTTGTTATTAAAAAGCTATTCATTGAGTCCATATGCTGTACATGAAAATAGAAGCTGAGAGAGTAGTGCCCCATAATGTCATGTACATTGCATAAGGATTTGAAATTATTCTCGTAAACTTTCTTCCGAAGTGTTTGTACGCTGATGATTTATCTTGTAGTGAATGAAAACGTTGAAGAGATAAAACGGTGCTCTTGAATTGTACATTTAAACCTTTTTTTATTTATTTCAAAATCGATTATTTGACTAAATCAATGATGAATAAGCCTACACGAGGAAAAAAATTAGTAGATTTAAATATTCACACGTCAACAAAAGTGGGAAATCCAGGCGGCGTCTTTTGGATGACGCTAGTAACAGCTTAGAACCTCGATCAGCGAGCATCTGTGTTTAGAAACTCAGTAGTTTATCTTTCAACGTAACAAGGAGCATCATATCAATTTAAAGAGAACCGAAATGAATGAAAACACCGGATCAGTTTTCGTGTGACTGACTCATTAACACTTTGTCTTTCATATGTAAACTGCATGGTTGCTCAGAATATCTAAAGACTGAACCGTACAGGGGCACTTTAAGTTATGATATTCAGTTAACGTCTGTTTGTAGAAGTCTGAGAAAACCGCATCCTTTTTAAAAAATTGGCTATGGCGTGGTATGAAATAAAAAAAAAAAAAAAGACAAAGAAAGTTTTCTCTCGCAGACAAACTTACCTACGCCCTTCAAGTAGATACCAAAATTAACATCTCCGGTTTTTCATCACGAAAGCTTGTGATGAACATCCGACTCTAGTCTGAAAAAAAGATAGTTTATTTATTTTCTTTCTCTACATGCGTGCTCTTGGCACGCAAGTATCAAAATTTACCTCCATTTCCCTTCGATTAAGGCTTTGCAAAAGTGTTATCACTCGCCACACCTGTCGTTTTAAGGCAAGTGTTAATTTAAGTATGATAATTCCATCCGATCGGTTCAGTGTGAATAAAATCAAGCGCTTAATTCCATTACTGCACTTATGAAGGAGTGCACCTGCATGGGTTTATCCAAATGAATACCTGTTTTCATTAAAAAAGGCTCTCAGGCTATTGAAGAGTGAAACTTCTCAGTGAGGTGGAATCATAAGTAGAAGCAGACTGGCCTGCAGAGGAATTGCTTGACTCGAGAGCGAAGACAACATTTCAATAAGAAAAAGATATGATAAACTAAAGTTCTTCATCGAAATATAACTTGGGACTCAAGAAGCAGACTAGTGCGTTGAAAATGTTTAATGTGGTTAATTCAAAATAATCTCAAGGTATGGGATGGATGTGTAAGTTTCAGTTGGTTGTATATTGAAATTGTTGAAATGACTCTTTGGTCAAAGAAAGTTTTCCTCACAAATGGATTTTTTGGCAGAAAAGTATTTTATTTTAGTAAGCTTATCTTGAGAGTGGTTACGGCAGAATTCTTCTTTTTGGCTAAAAATTTCAAGAAGGTCTAGGCCTACGTATACTTTTATGCAATAAACTCGTAATGAGAAATGCTTTTTCCTTTTAAAAGTTATGATAATTATAATCTCCTCAGTTCTGCATCGTCCCACAGTCTAATGCTCGGGAATGGTGTAGCGGGCCTACTTAATTTTAATTTTCTGCGACAGAAAATCTACCCTGTTGAGCTGACTCTTAATTAATTCATAAAAGTAACTCTTGATGACTCTTATTTAATTGCAACGAAGGAGAAAAAACTAACAAAAGATTTTAAAGAGTTCCGAAACGTTATGGTTATGAGAAGATCATATCTTTCTTTCTTTCTCAAGCAAATTGCATTGCGTTTATCATTCAACAGATTCTTAACTTTTCCCTGAATTGCTCATGCGCTGAGCGAAACGTTTCAGTTTGGAAATAATTCAACAACACCCCTTAGTGTCTTGCAAAAGAGCTAATCTTTGTTCCTAATGAACAATTCAGTCAAGATATAGTGTTTTAAATTTCTAATTTCCTCAGTTAACCGAAGTACTGAGCTAAAAGTTAGGTATCATTTCATTTCATTTTTTTCCTTGAAAGCTCGATATCATTCAGATGCATTGGTGATCATATCCCAAGATGGAGATGCAAGAGTTAAGAAGCCATGATGGATCAGAAATCGAACATGAGAGAAACGCAAAAGACTTGCTCTGCTCTCTCATCAAGGACTTCTGTGACTACACATCTGCGCATGGCCTGGGAAGGATAATGGCGGCTACACATTGGGTGCGAAAAGTACTCTGGATCATGCTCCTTTTGATTGCGATGACGATTATGACGATTCAAGTGCACGTTTTGTACTTAAAATACCAAAGCCGGCCTCTGACTACCTTGGTCACGGTTGAAACAGCCTCGGTATGCCAGTTCCAATGCTATCGCCATTACTTTTTGACTCTGTAAGGATTGAGCTTCAAAGGGACACTGAAACCCAATCGTTATATTTCTATCAGGCATGCGCGAACTACGGCACTATGCACTACATGAGCCACTATGGTTCTACGCTCTGAGTATCGAAGGTCTAAACACAGGCAGCGATTTTAAGTGCAGCGGCTTTCAACCGGTCAAAACTTATATTTTGATTCAGAATGACAGAGGTAGGAGTGCAAACGTTTCGCTCCCAAAAAATACCGCCTTGGCAAAAAAATAAAATGATTGTCTCTTTGCCAGGACCTTTTTGAAGCGCTTCCCCTCGATACCAAGGCTTTAATCTTTTCTATATACTCTCGTCCACGTTCGTGTTATTATTTTTTTATGGCTTCAAACAGATTCTTGGAAATGTTTTAACTTTCCTGGAATCAACTTCATATTTCTCAGAGCCTCCCATTTCCAGTTGTAACACTCTGCAACTTCAATGCTCTCCGAAATGATTCTCTACAAGCTGCTAAAGAAGATGGAATGGACATTTTCAAAAACCTCTTCACAGGAGAACTTGGTAATGCTGACAAAAATACTGCTTTATAGTGATTATAGTCCTGCTAATAAGCAGGCATAAAATTCTAGTGCCCCGTTTAAGTCTATTTGTTGCACACATTGGTCATGAGAATCTAATGAGTTTCTAAACTCTACCAGGGTATATTTCTTTCCAATTTGTAGTTAACTGGATGACGCAGAGACATTATTAGCGGACATGGGCATACACCTCTTACATTGTTTTCGTGTTTATCTTACGCTAATTCAGCCAAAAACATCTCAAGTAACCGGAGAAAACGACGATCAAATGATCCTGCTCCAACTTTAGAAAGCCTCGCTAATCAGGAAGGTTCAACATATGATTCTGATGACGATGATGACGAGGACTTTTCTTGGGATGACGACGAAGACGAAGAGTTTCGCGATCCGTTTAAGAAAGACCCAACCTTTTTGAAAAAGGAGCAGTTTGCTGTTCTTATGGCTAAGGAAGATCTTTCACTATTAAGCATGATAGGTCACCAATTTGACGACTTGGTTTTGTCCTGTACATACAGGGGTGTCCCATGCAAGTAAGTTGTACAGTAGCTACTTTCACTGACGTGAAAGGGCAATTTGAATATCAACTTTTATTCTTATCGGTAGTTGTGGTGAAGACAAGACGTTAGGCAAAACGTTTGAGAATTCCAAAAAGATTCTTAGCCTAGAGTTTGTACGCCCATACTTCTACCAAACTTCAGCGAAAAAAATGTCTTTTTTTAAATTCTTCACTGAAGAAACTTTAATGCAAAGGTACAACCGCTTTGGAAATAGGAGCCATTCTAAATGGAAGAAGCGATTTTTCCAAGCCTTAGAACACAACTAACAGACAAGAAGGAAAAACTTGCTTGCTCTCTGACCAAATAAGTTTAATATTTTCCTTTTTGTTTCAGGAATTTCTCCTCTATTTTTTGGAGGAAGTTTTGGCATTACAAGTATGGCAACTGTTTTGTATTTAACAGTGGCAAAACAAAATCAGGGGAGAACGCACCCATCCTAAAATCCAACAAACCAGGACCATCTCATGGTAAAATACGCGTCTAAGTTACACTTATACAAACCTATACTTAAACGCAAAAAGTAAATCAACTGAAGACGATGAAAGTTCTATCTTATAAGTTTCAATTTACTAACTAAAAATAACCTCTTCGTTGGCCAATTAGGATATGCAAACGATTCCTGAAAAGAGCGTAAGCGAGGAAAAAACATTGATTGACTCTTCTTTGATCTCATCCATACCTTTAAGAGAGCGGTGAATTTGCGTCAGATTTCAAGTTTTGTTAGTATCCTTTATTTCTGGACTGTGTACGTGAAAATGGTGATGCCATTAGCGAGCGCAAGGTTTTGTAAGTGCCACGTAAGAACTAAACATGGTGTATCTGTGTATTCTTGATCATGAGCTCCTGTGCAACTCACTGACAGGTCTGGCCATCATCAGATCCGTAAACAACTGTCAAGCAGCCGTATTTGAATCTAAACGATGATAATAAATATTTATGCTTCTTTTTAGGACTTATCTTGGAACTTAACGTCGAGCAGGAGGAATACGTAGGACAAATGAGTCCAGAGGCGGGAATCAAACTTGATATTTCTCCTCATGGTGAGATGCCCTTTCCACTGGAAAGAGGCCTGAGTCTTGCTCCAGGATACGCCACTATGATTGGGATGAGGAAGGTAAAAGAATTCAGCAACCTGATCGGCCAGAAATGACATCTTTCGGTAAACAAAGTCGAACTGAAGGATCTTTGCAGTTGGCAACGACCTCAAGTGCAGCACAGGCCCACGAATATGAGTTTGGAAAACCAAGTACTTCGACTTTAGCTTAGTTTTCAATGTCATTAAAACATAAATGAAATAACTAGTGAAGAAATGATCCCCGCATGTAAAGTAAGATCTGGACGGGATACGAACCCGAGGGTCGCTACAACCAGCTGAGCTGCGAAGCCAAATATTAAGAGTGAGGCAAATTATGATGGGCCTTTCGTTCCCACAAGTAGCTAAAATTGTTTCGAAGTGTTATTCTGTTATTTATAGGAAGTGATAAAGAGAGAGGATCCATTTCAGAGTAAGCGATGTTTGAAGGAGGTGACCAAAGATGAAACCAACTTGTATACAAAGCACTTTGGAGCAGTTTACTCTTCAACGGTACAATGCTGTTAATTATGATATCGTCGTTGCCACCTGCCTTGTTGTTGTCGTTCAAAAAAGTACTACAATCCTCTAATCCTATTTTTTGTCTTAAAACTCACCTCAGGCATGTAGAAAATCTTGCTTGGCCTACAATCAGCTTAAAAGGTGCCGATGTATGCAATACCAGTTTCCAGGAAGTTCCAATTACGGTATCTGTAACGTCATCGACAAACCAACACGTAAGTCTCTTCACACGACTTATCCAAGCTTAATTGTCGTTTGGTAGATTTCGGAATAACTTTTGTTATCTTCAAACAAAAATTTAACGCAAATTGGATTTCATCTTTTTTTTCAAAAGTCAAATGCCTCAGCGGTGTCCAGAAGATGTTTAAAGAAAACAAGTTAAACTGTACTACATCTTGTCCGCCACCGTGCAGGTAAAGACAACTAAAATTACAGGCAACGTCCAGAGAAAGTCATAAAACAAAGGAAATTTTATACTTAAACTTTTATTCTGGAACGCAGAACTAATGAAAATGCACTAGAAAAAGATCATACGAAAAAAAAAATTGCAAATTAAAAACAAACATTTTAAGTAATCAGCATTTCTGGCACTCTCAGAAACAGAGAAAAGTTTAAATCTAACTTCACATTGGAGTTGACGAGGCGTTCCTCTTATATGTTTCAGTCGCATAACAATTAATTTACTTCCCGATGAGAGAGACACAACAAAACGTGTTCTCATCACGTGTCATACAGGAAATTGATAGTGAGAATATGCTGATACTCAGTTCTTTGGTTTGTTATCAGAGAAGAAGGTTACAAGATGAGTTCCTCGTTTGCTCTTTGGCCATCGGAGAAGTATGAGGTACAGCTGATGGTTACTGGTTATTTTTTTGAATGATGGTAACCATGACAACTTACTTCAACCTCTTTTTATCTTTGCTTTGGTCCACTTGCAGCCAATCTACGAAGAGGCTTTGCAGAAGGAACACAAAATTTTGTTTACCAAGATAGGTTCATCTCACAGGTAAATAATATTAATATCAAGGGACGACTGGAGCTTCACAAGCAGGACGCCGGCCCTTTACGGGAGTACCTGTGAAGAGATAGGAAGTGCTTTACAGAATAAGCCTAACGCATTCATTATTTTGAATCCAGTCAAAAATATCTTTTAATAAATTAGTTGAAGCCATTTGTGTGTCCTTTTTTCCTTCACTATAAAGGAAAAATGTTTGCAAGTTACAAGTATTCTATGAAGAACTCAACTTGGAGATGATAACGGAACAGCGATCGTATGAGGTATGCATGTTAAGGGCTGAGCCCGTTAACTCTAAAAAGTGATAAACATTTAACTTCTCCCCATGATATTCATACATCATCCAGCAAAGGGGCTGTAACAATTAAAATGTATGATAAAACGTGCCAGTTTTTGTTTCAAATGTTGAGGTTGACGAATCTGGACAATTGATATAAAATTTAAAATAATCCGGAAAGCGTCTAAAAAAGTCTGGAGAGGGTTCTCTCGAGTGCTAATCATGGTAAAAGGGCTCAACGAGTGTTTCTGTCCGTTAACAGATTGAAGACTTCGTATCGGACATTGGCGGCCAGTTGGGTCTGTGGATTGGTTTTTCTGTGCTGACTGCAGCTGAGTTCTTAGAGCTGTTCATGCTCATATTCCACGCAGTTTTAAAGAGCTGTGGAGCCAAAAAGACACAAAATTCAAACCACATTCATCAGGATAGTGTGGCCTAAACAGAGAAAGCTATGGAATTTCCCTAACCAGGCGCGTAGCGTGGTCATTTTTTCAAGTACGCACAAGTACATATGATCTAGAAACCTAAGTAAACTGAGCGAAAAATACCGCGTTCTTTATTTCTTGTTCGAAATAGTTGTGTGAATACAAGCAAAGAACAAAGCGTCTCGCCCTTATTTTGAGCAAACCTGGCGCAAACACAACATTGTTTTCAAAATTTTCTGGTCACAGTCAAGTACGCACGTGCGTATATGCGTATAGGACGCTACGCGCCTGCTAACCTGCTAATTACACAATCAAAACTACATTCACTCGGCCTGTTGGCAAGATGGCGGGGAACACCCCATAACGTGGTGTGAATTGAAAGAAGACTGCCCCACCCTTGTTCTATGGTTGAAAAAGTAAAGCATTTTTTATTTGGTTACGGCAAGGCGATTGGGGAGAAACATTCTTAAATTCTCAATTTATTCTAAGATTTGAAACGATAGCATCGTTACGTCTTATTCCGTTTCGTTTTGTTTTTGTGAGTTTATTTTCAGATTTATTTTGAACTTATCCGATAATAAAGTGTCGCTAATATAATTATCTTAAAAATAGAAGAGAGAACGTGTCTACTTCACACCAAAGAATACAGTTTCCGTTTCCGATTAACCGTCATATGAAGCACTGCGCATAGCTTTTTCAGTATATGGAGGAATCAAGCTATTTCAGCTATTTTTAGTTCGTTTTTTGTCTTGCCTGCTTCAGCCCAATAAAAGCTTTGCTGAAACATCGATTATACAAAAAATCCTGGAATCATACCTTCGAATTGCTAGCTTCTTCAGTGCGACTGATGGGCTCATACTGGGTGCTATGCTACAAATGTTGAACCAGGAAATAACAAAATATAGGTCACTTGATAATTTTAACATAGCCACTGATATCGGTCAATTTAATGACAGATCAGTTTTGTTAAAAAGTGATGACATTCATAGCTAAACAACTTTACTTTCTCATCCTTCGTTATTTGTTTTGAATAAAAAACCACCTTACAGTTTCATATTATATTAAGTGCATGTTTTAATTTACATCTGAGTTTTATTCGTAAGGACCTGCCTGCTCATGTTTTTATTGATCCCAGCCAGTCGAACGTCAATCAAACCCAACGGATAAATCAGTTTTAATCAGACTTCAAGGTGTGTCGAGATCATAGATGTTGCTTAGCTACAGAGCAGTTTTCAGTCATAAACAAACGGAAAATAAGCATCAACAGAAAAACAACACGTGTTTGGGTGGTTCTTCCCAGACACAGACTCGTGCGACCGCATTTCCGGAGATTGAAATATGATATTCTCAGGTAGATCGTTACCGCCTGATTAGTTAGTTATGTGTTCAGAGAAAAGCGCGAGTAAGCAGGCAAACTTTCCTGCATGTCTGATCCAACCGGGTCCTTGCTCTCTTATCAACGTCCAATCGATTCGAACAGAAATTATTTTTCCAATTCTCTTAAAGTTTATTATTTGAAGAAAGAAAGCCCCCAATGGAATCTTTCTGTTAAAATAAAGGAATAAATGTGTAGGATATTCAATTTACTTTATGTAATTCTTCTTCCAGCTGTGATTAAATGTTGTTACTTTTGACCAGGTCGATCGATTTTCACATTGAGGTCAGCTCTCAACGAGAACTTTACCTTGCATGAAGCAATCTGTGTCCGTAACAGATTGACATTTGTCACTTGGTATGCTTACCATGACAATTTTGTGTTCAATCTAAATAAAGAATCTTGAAAAAACGTCATAGCTTTAGTGTCCTAAGATGCCAAGCATACATAAGACGAGTCTGGAAACAGTCACGCGATTTAATCGATCATAAGTTCTTTTGATCTAAGTAACAATCAGAAATGGAAACTGGTCAATATTCTATTTTGACAGACCTAAAATTAGGCAAAACCTGTATTTTCACCGCGAGTTCAAGTTTCAGGCTGTATCAACAAGAGCGCAAATTATGCAGTTCAGAAAGAAAGATAGTTACCCTTCAACATTTATTAAGCGCTTCATCAAACAAAGCGAATAACGTTGTGCATTGTTATTGTTTTTACGGGTGCTGTTTTATCATGCAAAAAAGGTCAATAACAAATGTTACTAATATAATGATATAAGATGTTTAGCATAGAAATGGAAATGCGGAATTTTTTGACGTCAGCAATGTTTTGTTGCCCTTAATTAGCGCGTATGAACCCAAATTAGATCACTGACTACGTGCCGAACGACAGACCGCTGTAGGACAAGCTTACAGATCACCAATCGCTCACATGTACTCTTTGGGTAATTGTCGAGGTCTTTTTGTTTGCACAATAATGAAAGAAAGTTCATCTTGACGTAAATCACCAAGGAGCCGATACTCACCGTGATCAGTCAGAAAATTTGCTGCACTCGAAGGCTGAAAGAAAAACTGTTCTCGGGTAAGAAAGCTTTCATTCCACTGCATTTTAACTGTGTTATATTTCCAACATTAGAGCCATACGGAGTGTAATAACTTCCATCGGCACATACACCTGTGTAATAAGTCCAATGTTGTAGTAGAGTGAGTCGCTGCTCGCGAACACTTTCAATAATTCAGTTCAAATTGAGCAGTGAACAATGAACTGGCAATTAATCTTCTGAAATTACATTGCTGACATCAAGATCGTTTGAATAAAAGATCCTTTAGTTTTGCATGTTCGATTCACCGCATGTTCTTTGTTCACCTGTGAATCTCATAATTTCAATTGAATTTCCTTTTTACCGCTGGGGAACAAACTGTAAGCGCAATTCAAGATGCGTTTAGTTATTCAATCTATGTTTGAATGAATCAACAGCCTGAGCTTTCACAGATCTCGCTTGACATTTTGAGGGAAAAAGGCAAACTCCTTGACAAAAATTGTCGACTCAACTTGTGCTACAACAGCAACACTAACAACGATTTGAAAAAATTCTCACTCAGCCAAGAATTTTCGCATGACTGACACAAGAGCCCTTACTCAAGGTGACCCATTACACTTAGTGACATCTTGTCCTAAATATCCAGAGGAGATATCGGGCGGCTGTAAACATAACCAGATAACGGAAATCATCATATTTTCATTATCAGCAAATCACACCCGTAATTTTCACGCAGTCTTTCGAAAACAAACGATTATTTTATAAATTTATTTTTCCATATTAATTTCTTTTCGAGGCTTATGTCAACACAAGCGACGGGCAAATACGAAGAGGCCAATATGCTTATGAACTAGAAAACTCGTGCTGATAGATTTTGATAATACCTTCCGCGATAAGTTTAAAATAAAAATACTGCGGGTTTTGAAATTTCAATATTTTCTTTTCTACCGCAGAAAAAACCTTAAAACTCGAGTGAATTCTTAAAATGGTTTACGGAGCTGGGCTCCGTTTTCTGGTACTCGTGTATCTTAGCTCCCTCGCATGTTAAAGGCTTTCTTCTTGTTCCATTCGAGACTGCTTAACCTAAGGTTGTTGGTAACTTAATAAGGCTTTTACAGTTCAACTCAGCAAAAAAGGTGAATATCCTAAAGCAAATTTCCCAGAATACTGACCATTTCTTCGTAGCATCAATGGTAAACATTTGCAATGTCTATCAACTGGTGATGTAATCGAGGGTCAATCCTCTATCTGATGGAAGTTAAAAGCTGTTAGATAATGGACTAAATTAACAACATTATGCTGAGGCCTTTGTTTGATTAATTCAAACACTCTTCCTTAATTTCTTTTTGAATATCATTTCCCAGCGTGCGATAATTTTGTACACGTTTGCATATCAACACTTAGAATTCGAATTCACAGAATGCACGCTATTCTGCCAAGAATCAAGATAATAAAGATCCGTTACGTAAATTCACCACTGTTGAATTGTTGTGTGTTTCATTTCTCCTTTACTTTCACTTTTCCTTCAATTTTTTTCGGTTTGATAAGTATGGGAAGAAATGGTAACTGCTTTGATAATGTCTTTGTTCCCACTATCCATATCCGGATGTGGCATTAGGTGTTGAGCTGCATCTGAACTTATAAGTCAAAGATTGGACGCTATACTTAGCTGATGAAAGGCTTAAAATATTCTTCCTTATCATTAAAATAGTGCTAAAAGGAAAACTGGCTTGATATCAAATTCGAGAACGAGAATCTCAACCTATTTTTTGTATCACCAATTAATCATGGAGAACTAAATGAAGAGAGTATCAGAGCGTCGAAAAGCAATGAGTAAGTGTACATGCAAAGTTTGGAATTTCAGATAATCCAATTCGGGTTGATTGGAGATTAGTCTACTGATTACGAACACAAAATATAGAAGTATTGTTACTACGCTAGTTCGGTGTCTAAGTGAAGGTAATAACTATTAAGAATGACGTTACTGGCCAAACTTTTATTTTTTACCATCTGTCTTCAGTCGTTTGCACTTAGTATACTTGATTATCTTCATCGATTATAAAGGTATTTTTTGTCCTATTTGTAACTGTTCTGTGGTTCTCTAGGTTTGGTTTATGGATTAGAGGACGACAAAGCAATATCTGGCTTTTTATGATCGTCTGCCGTTGGTACAAAACGTCCTGTATTCGGTTTGTCCAGCTAAATACTGACCAAGGGTCATGGAAATTTTTTCTGCATTTGTTAATAGACTTATTCCAAGAAATTTCTCAGAGAAAGTTTTGTGCCATAACAATTATCAAAAGAACAAGTGTTCACTCTGCTCATGGTGTAACACGCTCATTGTTTTACATTCGACTACTTTTCATAGTTCACCATTTAAACATACTTGTGGTTTCAGGTTCGACTGATTAGTATCCGACGGAGTATATTTGTAGTCATACAATTGTGGAAACTTCTAGTTAACATGACTGGCTTACATCTATTTGGCGCTTATTGCTGGCGAGCCCTGGCGAGGGAGCAGCCTATTTTTTACAAGAGCGAGAAAAAGCCAAAATTTGTCGGATGTAAGATCGGAGATATGCGCAGTCGATTGCGTTTTCTATATCCGGGGTGCTTGTGATGATGTCACGTAAAATGCATGTGGGAATATCTATGGATTTCAAGCTATAGCTGTGTACAGCCGTTCCGCTCTGCTAGAAATCAAGAACACGATAAGCGAGATTAGTTTTTAATATAGATGTCTTTAATTACTTGTGGAAGTATCCATCAAGGTCATGAACGGTTTATAGTGATGACTCTCGAGGATGACAAGAGATTTTTATATGTTTGGCTGCTCTATTATATGAGCAATTTTTGCCGATTCACGAATGGAGGTGCCAAGATATCGATAACGCCCCACTTCATGGGTATCATTTCTTTTTTCTCAGTGCATTCAGCAGCAGTGAAGTGTTAGGCAAAATGCTCCCATTCGGAGTAAACTGCCGACTGCAGCTTGCTGGTCTCGGGAGAAAAGAGAGGAAGGTGTGGAGCTAACCTGCTTTATGTCGAAAGCGATTTCGGGCTCATCCTCGGTGTAAAAACCTGTGAAGCTTACGAGTGACGTAAAACAAAGACAATAAAACATAAACAATAGCGTACAGCAAAACAATACCTCATGAAACAAAGAAAACCTCGCCGTCAGGTTTTTACACCGAGGATGACCCCGATTTCGGCACTACAGGCATATCACTCACAGTATTCTTCGCCTCTTGAGGCGTTAAATTTTATCTTTGAGTCAAAATCTCTGCCCGTCGAGTTAAATAATTCGACCATTGAGTTACATTTTCCCGTTGAGGTAGAAGAAAAGCTTCCTATCATAGATTCAAAATGTGGATCGTTCGTTGAAGCTAACCATTGACCACTTTCATAAATGGCTCCCGGATTAATATTCTTTTGTTTAAATTTAAATTAGCCTTTCTGGCCTCCTTTTCCAGTACAATATTCAAAATAATACATCATCTCAAGCGAGGCCAGAAAGGCTAATTCAAATTTAAACAAAAGAATATTAATCCGGCAGCCATTTTTGAAAGTGGTCAATTCGATAGCAAACACAAATGACTGTTTGGGCTTTGAGACAAATTCTGAGTCGATTTCATCCGTCGAGTTCAGTTGTTTATCAATCTTCGAGTCAAAAGAAAACTTCCCGAGCACAACATTAAGTTGTCGTTTGCTGTTGTTGTTTCACAAAAGCCCTTAAAACTAAACTAGTTGGAAAAATCGTAATTCTCTTTTAAAAAGCCACACCAACCCCTATTATACCGTTTATTTCAAATCGTATTATCAGTATTTCCTTCAAGCTCTGACGCCAGTACCCACTTTCATATTAAAACTGCTAGTCTACAAACATACACCCTGTATGAGTAAGAAAACCGGCTGTTCCAATTATGAAAAACTGACGCCTTATTGTAATACTTGTACATTAGCAGAATTTTCTCTCAAGACTTTCTCTAAGCAACAAAAAACCAAAGGAAAGTACGTTAGCAAACTCTCTGCCACGTTCTAAACTTTATCACTGTGTTTCAAGTTTGAGATATTTTTCGCAAGTCGCACTCGGCAAGCCAAAAAGGGGATTACAATTTCGTATTAGTTTGTTGTCATTTGTATTAGTATAGAGTGCAATGAAATAATTGGCATTATAATGAGAGGTATATTTCAGAGCCACTTAGAAATCCTTTTCATTAAAACTACACACGCAACACAAAATTAGAATTATTTTCCACAATATTACAACTGTTTTTATCTAACGAGTAAGAATTTTTTTCTTTAAAAAGCATAAGAAAAACTTTAAGGAAATCTTCATTGATTTCAGGTCGAACGCTTTTATCACGTATAACAAGCTTCCTGTTGCAATTCTCGCATTAACGAATGTGTTGCTTATTTGATTTCATAAATCGATTTCATTTAGAATTAACAAAACGTTTTCATCATTAAACGGGAATTTGTAGGATCAAAGAGTGACCGCGTTCATTTTTAGGAAATTTTAAATTTATGACTTGAAGATGAAAACTTCCCATGGAGACGATACTACCCTCTTGGTTAAACTATTTTAAGAGCGTATTGAGGAAAATAGTTTTGATGAAACAATGATGGGAGACTAAGACCTAATTACGTGAATTATCATCGCAGCTTAACATGAGAAAAAAATTTAATGCGTGAAAGCCTCCAAAAGGCGCGCATTTGTTATCATCATATGGAAAATTGACTGTACTATTTCAAAAGCGAGTGAAGGGGTTTCATTAGGTTTCTAAACGCGAGAAAATATTTGAAACCACGAGGCGGCAGGCCGAGTGGTTTTATCGTTTTCTCGCGTTTGGAAACCTGATGAAACCCGAACCACGAGTTTTTGAAATGACTTCTCCAAAGAAGCAATACAAAATTATGCAGTATTTTATGTTGTATTTTTCCCATTTTTCTTTAAAATTCCTTGTATGTGTGATTTGTCGTATTCGGTCGGCATTCATTGTATTTAGTTTCGCGTTGCTCCAAAAGCGTTGTGAACTTTAAGAGATTTACATATTGTTTTTGCCATGGCCGAAGGAAGGTTTCGCTTCTCGAACTAAAACAATCGAGGAAGTAGAACTTTGCGTAGAGAGAGCATTACCGAGTTTCAAAGTCCTTTACCTGACACGAATGGGGCTCTTTAATTGGCTTATAACGTCATGAATTATTAGTGAATTTAAGAACTAAATGTATAGAACCTTCATTTTCAAATAAGTGTCATCCGTCTATTGCTAGCACTAAAAACATTAACATAAGATACTTCCACCTGCCTTACGAGATCAAAACGCTAAAAGAATATTGAGAGTGGAGGAGTAATTTTTTTAAGACCTGTAAGAATATGGAGATGCACCTCTCGCGCAGGTGGTACAGACATTTGATTTGTCCTTGTTTAAATCTTGTCGGGCGCTCTTAAATCCATTGACCTATGTGAATTTTTATAAAATTCCACAGATCGTCATTCTCTCTTTGATCCCTGCTCAGAAGACAAACCAGTGACTTTGAAATAGAGCTTGCCATGGAAAATACAAACCCCTTTCAACGGAAAAACGAGTTTGAGATGTCCGTCAGGGAAGGAATCAAAGGAGCTGGTGAAGACGTCAGCCAAGATCTTTCGGATGATGAGGAAAAAACGTATTCTGTACGACATTTAATTCTGGACTATTGTGAATACACGTCTGGCCATGGTCCTCCGCGCATCGTCGCCTCAAAACAAATGATAAGAAAAGTATTTTGGACGTTGTTATTTCTTGCAGCATTGGCGGTGTCTTCATGGCAAATAAACACTCTGTTTGATACGTATAAATTACGTCCACTGAGCACTCATGTCTCGATAAAACATGAAACGGTATGTATATTTCTTTCTTACGAGGGCTCTAAATTTAGATTTCACAGAAAAAGCAAGCAGTGACTTTGTAAATAACTGAGTGCAAGTCCAGGTTCATTTACTGATCATAGCATTGTGTTTGTGTTTTGGGGCAAAACCCTCTTTCTCACAGCGCCTTCTCCACTTAGGAGTAAAAATGGGCGCCATAACTGTCAGGGAACTTTCACAAAATATTGAGGATTGGCATCCAATCCGGGTCAAGCTCCATGATATGAGTGCAACTTGAGCGACTGCACACACTTAAGTTTTTAATTCTGTTTTCAATCTTTAGTTGTTTAATATTGGAGAGGTGCTTACTCTGTGGACGTGCTGAACGTTAATCACCGGTTTATCAAAAACTGTTTAAGATCTTCTGATTATTTTTTCAGAGTCTTGACTTTCCGGTGATTACGATTTGCAACTTCAATGCTGTGAAAATTGGTAAAATTGAAGATTTCCCTGAGGATCTGAAAAAGGACATTCAGGCAGAAACTACCAGTAAGAAATATGTGCCTTAAATCAATTATAAAGTCACTTTACTGTGCTCAGAACAAATTTCCTACATCCAGTGGAAATGCAAGAGGGTATTGTTCGCGGGATGGCAATTTGATGTATGGACAGACATAGCTTATTTTACACAGCTTCACTCCCATGATTAACTTTCCTTACGCGAACACCTTAAGATAATTATGTCCCAGTATTCATCGTAGCGACGGGGCTCCATCTCAAATTTTAAGTTTTGATTTTAAGTTTAATCTTTTTGTCTTGATTTCTTAGACTCTTCTGGAAAAGATAAAATAACCTTTAAATCAACGTTCCAGGCTGCGAGCTTAGTACCCTGCTTTAAATCAGTACAGGCCTTTCGTGTAATATATTTTGTAATCTCTGTGATTGTTTTCATTATCATATACTTTTCATCATTATTATCATTATCATCAGTATTATTATCAATATCATAGGCAATAATTCGCCAACACGAGGAAAGAGAGCAGTAAACCAGCCCCCCTCGTCCAATAGTCCAAACAATATTGACGTCTTAGAGGAAGAAGAGGAAGGATTTGAGAACCCGGATGATCTGGATGAAGATTTCAAGAACAGGGAACAAATGATAATGATAATGGCTGAGGCTGGGGTCGAGGCACTAAAACCTCTTGGTCACCAGTTTGAAGAGTTTGTCTTGTCGTGCAGATATCGCGGAATCTCGTGTGTGTGAGTTTGCAATCTTCTCGTAAATTGCAAATGAAGAATAAGAAGCACTTTCCTTCCTAAAACTGTCCAAGGTCATACTTTGTCTGGACACGGTCATGTCATAAATCAGCTCACACGGAAAAGCCACTAACGACTAGTTTTCTTTGCTCTCGCCGGTTTGGCCCCAAGCCCAATTCCTAAAATTCAGGTCGCAGGCATCAACAAAGCAATTTAAGACGATGAATGGCAGAATTTTTGTCAAAGGCCTTTGGAGCGTTATTTCAGCTTTATTGAGTATCAGATTAACAGAGTTCTTTTCCACAACTGCAGCGGTAACCATGGCGTGCTTTTTCTTGATCTGCATAATATACGTTGTATGGATTCTCCATATTTTCCCGTTTTTATTTTTTCCCTTTTGTCAAAATCAAAGTGAATTTTTAATTCTAATTGGATTATTATTTTCCAAGAAATTTCTCGAGTTCTTACTGGACACGCTTCTGGCATTATACCTACGGAAACTGTTACGTTTTTAACGCTGGTAAAGATAAAACAGGAAAGAGAGCTGCCGTATTGAAGTCTAACAAGCCTGGACCATCACACGGTAAGATAGCTGTTTAACTCAATTTATATTGATTGTTTTAAAGCATAAAAAACTCTGAACTCTGATTCCTTTACTTACGAGTGCGTAAAATGTATTAGGAAGCATTTCTAACGACTAATCCAAGGGAAATCTTCAGAAACAGAGCCCAGAAATGATCCCAGATACATTAGGGCTGTAATCTCGCTGAACGATATGGTTGCCAAGAAACGACATTTCTTGGCATTTACTCCGCTGACCAGGAAGCCAAATGCTAGCAGGCTTGAAATGGCGATCTCGCGTGAACACTAAAAATATTGAATTCGTTATCCGATAGCCAAGCGCATATTGTTCTAGCCGTTTACGGCCTGCTGAATAATCAGTTATAATCTGTAGAAGAGAACTTTCCAGACATAAGGAAAGTTTCATTTCCTTAAAAACGTCAGTCGAAAAGAAGTTGACCTAAGTAACTACCTTTGAATTTCATTAATGGAGCGGCTTCTTCTTTCAGGACTAAACCTCGAGCTAAATATTGAGCAGGACGAATACATTGGAGCCTTTACAGAGGAAGCTGGGGTGAGGATAGACATATCAAATCAAGGAGAGATGTCGTTTCCTCGCGAGAAAGGACTCAGCGCGGCTCCAGGATTTGCCACGTCAATAGGAATAAGAAAGGTTAGCACTCTTCAAGTTAAATTTGTAATCAAGCAATGTGTTATCGAGTATCTCAAAGAATTTGTAGGTTTTTCAGGCAAAACTCGTTTAAAGAGTTTTCGCCCACGGTTGCCTGTTCGATGGTACGAGTGCTCGACTTCAGTTCCAATGGTCCGAGGTAGAGGGAGTTTGGCTGGGCATTTGCTTGGTAGTTTGGCTAGGAGTTTGCCGGGAAGTTTGCCTGGGAGTTTGGCTAGGAGTTTTCCGGGAGTTTGCCGGGAGTTTGGCTAGGAGTTTGGCTAGGAGTTTGCCGGGGAGTTTGCCGGGGAGTTTGCCGGGGAGTTTGCCTGGGAGTTTTCCGGGAGTTTGCCTGGGAGTTTGCCGGGGAGTTTGCCTGGGAGTTTGCCGGGGAGTTTGCCGGGGAGTTTGCCGGGGAGTTTGCCGGGGAGTTTGCCGGGGAGTTTGCCGGGGAGTTTGCCGGGGAGTTTGCCGGGGAGTTTGCCGGGGAGTTTGCCGGGGAGTTTGCCGGGGAGTTTGCCGGGGAGTTTGCCGGGGAGTTTGCCTGGGTGTTTGGCTGGGAGTTTGCCCGCGAGTTTCGTTGGGAGTTTGGCTGGGAGTTAGCTGGGAGTTTTGCTGGGAGTTTGGCAAGGTCATTGTGTCGTGTTTCTTGAAAAGGCACTTACTCCCCACAGTGCCTCCACCAAGCCTTGGAGTATAAATTGTACCTGGTAGGTGTCAGAGAGGCCGGATGACATACTGAGAGGGTCTGGGGCGTTGGTCTAGCATTAACTATATGAAAGGATAATAACCCATACGACGTTTAATGCTAAAGAAACCGAGTTTTAAAATCTTCGGCAGTAAGGGCCAACCGGTTTGTTCGCGGGCTTTTTTCAACTAGATTAATTGTCAGCTTAACCATCGTTACCTACTTTTGAAGTCGTACTTTTATTCTAGAGATGTTTTTTTTTTTAAATTATAGGTGGAGATCCACAGAAAGGACCCATTCACCAACAAACGATGTCAAAATACCTTGAGTTTGAGCGACGCCAACCTCTACAATTATCACTTTCAAGTAAATTATTCAGCCACGGTAAGGAAAAGTAAAAGATGGGGAGAATAGCAAATTTTCACTGGGTACAATTAAACCTTAAATCAGCACGAAGAGTGCAGTCTTCGTCAGTCATAAAGACTGCATTCATGCAAATTGTATTCTATAGAGCGTATCCAGATCATTTAGGAAAAAATATATATAAAAAACATTGTTTACCGTGCATTTGTCAGTTCAAATACATTTTGAATTCCCTTCTCTTTTTGCGATACTAAGCTGCCAGGGTAACAAGAAAGGGTCTGCTAGCTTGATGTCATTATCATTTTCATCATCGTCATCATTATTATCTCATACCACCACGTTTTTTACCTCTCGTCTCTCATAAAAGAGAACCCTTGGTTGAAAAAATCTTGAAGTACTTGAAGCGTGTGAAATCAATCCGCTTTCTTAAAAACCAGTGAAGAACAACAACATACAGTTTTGGTTGACATGTCCTGATTCCAGCCTTTTTAGACTCATTTCGGATCATTCGTCCTACACAGGCATGCAAGGAATCATGTCTCGCTTATAATCAGAGGAAAGAATGTAAATGTATGGAGTACAGATTTCCTCTTCCTAATGACAAGACCCCAGTTTGCGACATTCTAAATAAAACAGTCGGTAAGTATTAATGAACTAGCTGTTTATAACCTTGAGGCATTGAGATAGAATGCGGAACTTACTGATTTCTCTAAGATTTTTCAGCAGGAGTTATACCCCAGGCAGGGTCAATGATATTGCAAAGGCAAATTTGTGGAGGGCGGAGGGGGAATCTTTATTCAAGGTATTCAATCACCTGGCCTGACCTGGATGTTTGACGAAGGGTGAACAACCCAACCATGTAAAAATTACTTTCATGGAAATACAACGTTGTAGTTACCAAGGGACCTCAAACCTTCCTCACGCTGGATTCACTGGCGGAAATTAAGTCAATTGTAAATCGTTAATCTAAAACAGAGATATCCCTGTGCACCGAAAAATTACAATTGAGTTGTGGGATGCAAGAAGTATGCACAGGTTACTAAGGAGAGGAATGATAAAGAAGTATTGATGGAAATTACGTCGTAGTTTTTTATAACGAGGTTCATAGCCTATTTGTTTCTTTGTTTTGTCGTAGTTAACTGTCTCAGCAAAGTACAGAAGGCATTTAAACGAAATGAATTGAACTGCACGTTGTCATGCCCACCACCCTGCAGGTAAGAGTAGAGTGACGAAGTGTCAGAAGCGTCAGTCAGTTTATCATTCTGTCTGCCAGTCTTTCGGTCACTCAGGTAGTCAGACAATCAGACTCTAAGTAAGTAAGTCAGTCATTCAATCCACAGTCTCTCCGTCAGGTGTGGAAGTCGGCAAGTCGTGCACGCGCTTACTGTCTGTCTGTCTGTCTTCTGTCTCTCTATCTGTCTGTCTGTCTTTCTGTCTCTCTGTCTGTCTTTCTGTCTCTCTGTCTGTCTTTCTGTCTCTCTGTCTGTCTTTCTGTCAGCCAGTTGGTAACTCAGTCAGTCACTTAATCGGGAAGATAGTCAGCCAGTCAGTCCGTTAAGGGGTCAGACTGTCTCTCAGTTTGTCCCCAGGTAAGCAATAGTGAAAGTGATCTCAAGCTTATTCTTACCTGAATTTTCGTAGGGAGAGCATATTTCAGCTCTCGTCATCATTCTCAGCCTGGCCTTCCAGTGGTTACAAGGTTTGTAACAGTTCTTATAATTCTATTACTGTGTGAAAATAATGTTCATACGAGCTATACCTTCTAGCTTGGTAATTTGATCTCATTTCGGCCGCAGATAGAAGCGCCTAACACCCTCCTTAATCAATGTGTTTTTTCGATATCTAAATTTTCTTTTGTCTTAATTTCTTCTCTTTTAGCCTTTTTATATTGACAAGCTCAACTCTCAGGACAAATCTCATAACCTCGATTTTAATTCAAATTCAAGGTAACTACCTGCCTTTTTATTAATTTCTCAAAATTACTTTCCACAAAATTTTAAATAGAGCACCTCTACTGGTTTGTATCCCATTATGTTGACAGCGTAGATTATACAGAAAATCTTTGTAATTGTTAATATATTTTTTGAATGCACTCTGAATGAATGGACTGACAGACATTAAGGGCACCACACGCGTGAGGAATTATGAGATAAGGGGGCAAAAAAAGAAATCATATCAATCCGCTACTGTTCTTAACTACCCGTTCCCTTCCGTTTTGTCGTCTCTTGAGTCATAAGGCGGCAGAGAAAACAGCTAAGAAATAATTGGATTTTTCTTCCTTTCCATAATTCATATCCCATTCGCCTTTGCATGTCTGCTGGCAATTGTTTTGAGAGAGTGTTATGAAAGATAAAACAACGCTGCATAGGACCAAGTGATACACAAGTAAAAAACGCCATAAGTACTATGAACTGCGCGTATGATTCATAGTAACACATGGACTCCACAATTTATTCATTTCCAGTAATATTCGCTCCAATGTTTTGAAACTAAACATATTCTACGAGGAACTAAATTATGAAACCATCAGAGAGGAAAGATCCTATGAGGTATGTTTACATTTCTTTGAAGATTTTCCACTCAAACTTAAACGAGTCAATAACATCTTTTCAAGCCAGACTAGTTTGTCAACCAGTGTCCTGTTCTATCCACAGCTAGCAAATTTCGTGTCCGATCTCGGAGGGTCCCTTGGTTTATGGATTGGAATGTCTGTTCTGTCGTTTGCAGAAGTTCTGGAATTGTTGCTATTGATTAGTTACGCACTATTTAGGAAATTTCGAAGAAAATTAAACGGTAAAATACGATCATCTTCATTTCATGGCAAGGGAAAAGGAAAAGACGCCTTCTGAAAAGATATTAGTGAAGCTGGGTGGAATATCATAGTTAAAGTGCAACTAAACCCCAAAATTTTTTTTTGCTTAACGAAATAAGCGTATTTTTTGGAGTATTTCGGTGCAAAAATGTTTTTATTTGCTCAAATCTTCAATTCTCTGTGCCCAGTCAAAATAAGGAAAATCGGCCGCCATCTTGCCCTACGACCGAGTTTAAAGAGGAATGGCTCTAACGGGTAATGTGACGTCAAATCGAGAACACAGAAATACTCCAAAATATAAACTTATTTCGTTAAGCGAAAAAAAATTTTTGGGTTTAGGTGCACTTTAACGTTATAAAGTCCTGATGATTAAATAGCTGAATTAAATAGTACAAGAATATGAACAATCTAGCAACTATTTAAAGTAAAACTTGTTTCGAGAGTCAGATTGCTAATAATTTCCCAAGATACCTTCCAGTTATTTATCAAAAGTAGCTAATGGTTGAATTATACGCAGTCGTACGCGTTCGAGTAGAGTTGAATTAAAAAAAAAAAAACGAACTGCAACAGCGACTAAAATGGTAACAACGAAAACCATAGCAAGAAACGAAAGACGAGAACGGCACCGTTTGATTTGAAAAAATTAGTTCGTACCAAACTCTTAGTACTCATAAAAAGGCATCATCTTTTCCTTTAGTCATTTAGCAATTTTCTTATTTATCAGGTTTCTTTTTTTATCGTTAAACTGTAATTAATTTGCGCAATTCTGTCATTGCTTTTTCCTTCTTGTCGTGATGCTCATTATTAATTTTGCAAATAATTTTTCAAAGTTTGGTTCTTAAGATACACACATACATACATTTTATTGAAGCTCCCTTGACAGGGCTTTTCAGCCACAATATGCTGAGACTAAATAATTAACAAGAAGAATTGAACTAAATTACTAACTAATTAAAATAATACAGAGACAAAATAAAAATCAGGCTAAAAGCATATTGACAAGTCTCTTCTTAAAGATTTTACCGTCCGCTGCCTCCTTATTAAGGTCTTTGGGAGACTATTCCAACATGCAGCGCCTCTGTAGACGAACGATCGTTGCCCAGTTTTTAACCGGCATCTTGGTAGGTTCAGATATTTTTAATTTCGTGTATTTCTGTTATCTAGTTCTAGTCTCCTTGTAAATTTTTGACTGAGATAGTCAGGCGCCAGTCCATTTAAGCACTTGTGAATCATAACAGAATCATTTTAAAAAAAGTTTATCGGCAATAGGAAGCCATTTCAGCGACTTCAAGCCTTCAGAAATGCGATCGTACTTTCTTAGGCCGAGGACTATCCTGCCTGCAAAGTTCTGAACAAGATGGACGGATTGTAAATAAATTAAGACTTATCCTTGCAGAATAATGTGGTCTCCTTTATTCTCTAAAACTGGAGGGGGGAAGGTTACGAATATCTGCACAGATAACAGCTAACCACCTGTTATTTGTCGATTTTTCAATCATATCCTCCTTCAATCAAGGCGCCCCACAAGTACTCCTTGCTCTAGGCAAGTGCGAAAAAAACTTTCATTCAAACCTTCTAATTGTAGGATAAAGGCCCGGACATTGCCGGGCAGTCAAGTCGCCCAGAGGCTGGTTTGAGATTCTACCAGTATTGTCTACCAATTCTGTAACTGTGAGAAATGACAGTATAAACAGGTAGTGACAAAATTCCGTTCACTCCCTAATTAAGGAGTCTGTTAAACGTGAATCTTACTGTCGTTTGTCAGCCCGGCCGTCCAACTGTCAGCCCTTGAATCAGTCTGTCTGCCTGTCCATTTGATGGTGTGTTTGTCTGTCTGTCTGTCTGTCAGCATGTCTTTCTAATTGTGTTTTATCTGTTTGTCCACCATCTGTTTTGTCTGTCAGTCTCTCTCTTGAGTTTTTTGTTTGTCTGTATGCCCGTCTTTCCAATCATTTGTCTCCCCTTCTATCTGTACAGTTGCCTGTCTGTTCATTTCCCGATTTTTTCAGCTGTCATAATACTTGATCTTTGTCTATCGGCCAATGGGGAAGGCACTCGTCATCCATGTGGAAAAAAAAAAACAGACAAACAAATAAAGAAACAAATGAATAGTTAATCAAGGGGAAATAAATGTAATAGTATTTTAATGGAGGCATTACAAGAAAACTTTAACGCCTCTCCCCAAAATCCGTGCTTTGAACTTGCTGATGGAAGATGGAAGCTTTCCTCCTTCATTTGACAGCTGAAATAAAAATAAAAAATACGTCAGTTTCTTCTCATGTTTGTCCAGGCCTTAATGAAACTGTGTTTGCTTTTATGGCGAAATCTGGTGCCGTTTACGCGGTGACGGGAGAAAAGCTACTACATGAGCAATAGGAAATGTCTTAACGTTGACTTCCTAATTTACCAGCTCGAGATACCATGTTTTATCTCTCAATATACCATGTTTTTGCTTTTTCTCATATCAAGATATTAAATGCACCTCGAATAAAACCCTATCAGGTTATTTTGTATTATCATATTGTGCTGATCAAAAGTGTTATAATGGCAGCACTATTCTTTTAACAAGTTTTGCATTTGCAAAAAGAAAAAATCAAGGCAGCAGATCACGTGGTGTCCAACTGTGCCTCTTCAGCAAGTGCCTGGATGTGGTATGGTTCAAAACCGCACCGTGATCATACGACTTTCCAGTGCTGCATAGAGATGGCAAACAAATCATTTATAAAATCGGAAATGTAAATTAACTTTTTCTTTAGTCTGTGATAAGCCAGGGAGGAAATGACAAAAATGTCTCGGAAAAATTATTTACATCTATGATAGCAAATATCCCACAAACTGTCCAAGAGGGTAAATTGCAAGTCAGTCAGGGTTTATATTATATTCGTCAGAGCGATGACGAAGGGCTAACGCTCGAAACGTCAGCTTTTTAACTCTTTACGGTGACCAATTTACAATTTCAACTTAGTTTATCTAACCAAATGACTAAATGACTGTCTGACCAACATACTGTCTGAAGGACTGACTGACTGGTTAAGTGACTGTCTCACCACCATACTATTTGAAGGACTGACAGACCAGCTGAACAAATGACTGTTTGGAGGATTGCCTGTCTGGCTGACCAACTGACTGTCTGAAGGATTGCCTGTCTGGCTGACCAACTGACTGTCTGAAGGATTGCCTGTCTGGCTGACCAACTGACTGTCTGAAGGATTGCCTGTCTGGCTGACCAACTGACTGTCTGAAGGACTGACTGTCTAGCTGACTGTCTGACTGACTGTGACTGACTGACTGATGAATGGAACGATGGCTAGATGATCCATGCATACCAACTTACCCATTTTAGCAAGCCTGATTGCTGCTTCGCCAGGAGTAACTTTCCCACGAACGTCGCCTTGAGGGCTGATGGACATTGTCATGGCAACAGTTTTACCAGTAGACTTCAAAGTTTCCGTCGCCCATTCAGTCTCGTCAATGTTGATCAGATACTGAATAGTCAAAAGAATGGAAACAGAGAAAGAAACTACTAAATAAGAATAAAATTGATCAGACCCGATATGAACCTTTGCTGAGGTTCAAGAGAAATTGTTTTTGCCTCTATAACCCCACAGAGAGGATCTGATTTTTACCTGATTCTGCCATGATTCCAAAAATTGCTAAATTGAGAGCACCTGCAGAATTTCCTTTCAATAATTTTAAACTGCTCAATGCCTGCGCAGTCTGGCCAAAGTCCCCTCCAAATTCTTGTAAGCGCATTAGAGCACATTGATAAGGAAACACGCTCTATAAATGCATCGTTATCATTCTCAAGATTCTCCAAGATTGTAAAATAGTCTTAACACATGTATCACTCTGTGGTATTTCTATTTTCGTCCCTCTCACGTGTTAAACATAGATAAAAAGCACTGAAAGAATCCTGAGGCCTACCTGATGTCATTTCCCAACCCTACCCTACCCTAACTACTTCCCCTGTGTTCTTAGCCACGCTCACCAAACTTTAACGAAACTTTCCCCTTGATATGTCGCTATGCAGAGGACAACTTCTTTCAAGGGTCTTCGATATTGATCCCAACAGAGCAATATGCTCTTGTAATTTTTGTACTTGTCCTTTCTGTTCTGAGAATGTCCCTCATCGGTAATAATGTTGTCCAAGGGCTAAATCATACGTTTAACTGAGAGGCTTTCTTTAAATAAATATCCCTCGTCCACATGTACTTACCTGCCTCAGGATTCTCTACTGTGCATTCCGGTGTGTATGGACCAGCTCTTACGTAGCCTCGCCTTTCCAGAGCATGAAGGAATCCGCCATCACCGATCACAACTTCTCCTGCGTCAAGTCTCTCAAGAATTCCTTTTGGCTGATCAATTCAAGTTTCATCAGTCAAGTGGGTGAACATTACAACAAGCGCAAAGTTGAAACTACTTAACGTTTAATTCCGACTTTTATTTTGAAGAGAGGATATCAAAGAATTTTCTTTAGTGTGATCAACGTCCACACTTCGCTACATTTGCACTCATGGAAACCAGTAGAGGCTTCTTTGAAAGCAGGCCCTCGAGCTTTTGTTTGACGACCTCGAGGGAATTAGAAAGATTTGCGTATTTTATAGATAACTAGCAAATAAACTTTGGAAAAACAATTACTTTTCTAATGTACAAGAAACATGTGCCAGAAATATCTACTTATATATTTTCAAATATATCGTGAGAGGCTGCGCCCAAGCTCGAGATCCTTCCAGAAGGATTCAAGCTTTGTTAATTTGAATACTGCACGGGTAGTTCGTCGTTAACTTACGCAAAATAAGAAACCTACTTCTGTCACGCGCACGAGCCCCATAGTTGTTAGTCGTGCAAACTCCGCTTGAGTTGTGCAACCAGGGCAGCCTTAAAATTCTCGACATTGCCGAAAAAAGTGTGGCCCACCCAGCCCAAACTTATTCCAGTTTCCAAGCAGCGTGAAACAACTACCTGGAGTATCAATACTCGCTCCTGAACTATCACAAGTTCTGAGTAACTTGATTAGTTACGTTACCCCTAGTCTTTTCAGGTACATAACTCGGCTGGCACATGCACAACGGACATTCTTTTACCATGGCAGTCATGGTTCAGACAGTGTTTGTCTTTTAAAATCCGATTGGTGGTTAATACTATTAGCTTTAAAAGTTCAGAAACAAGCATAATACCTCTTTCTCTTTAGAGGCATAACTAGCCATGGAACACCAGATGCCAGACTGCTTACATAATCCGCAGTGAGGGACCTTTCGTATTTCAGATTGACCACCAGTGTTTCGGAAATGTCAACAGCATCGTTTTGAGAAAAAAGTTAAATTCTAACGTGTTTAAGTCGAGCTCACTTGCGTATTTCAACCCTTACCTTTCTAGTTGTGGACGCCTTTTTAAAACTTCGTCGGCAGATGACTTTGATGCCATTATTGTCACGCAATATGGCAAGCTGCTGACCGTAGTCTTTTATACAGAAAGCAAATAAATATTGAATATTAAAATATTCGCGCAAAGGGATGAACAGTTTCGTGACGACAGCAAAATAAATTAATACCAGACTATTACAAAATCAAATTTAACTTGCTTATGATAAAATTTATTTCAAAGAATACAGTAATTTCACAAATGGCTTTGACGCCACGCTAGCATATATTATTATCAACTATCTATTTGATCTCTGAGTTGTAGTTCCCTGAGAAAGTAATTTCATCTGTGTGTCGTCGAAAAGTTTGACCATGCAATCGTGATCAACTGGCCTAATGAGCAAAATATTGGGATCATCCTTACAAGGTTTATTATCATTATACATCAAAAACGTTGTGCTAGAGATGGGCTGAATACCCAAATCAGCCGCCAAGATTCCCACATACGCATCATCAACTTTGAGTGGTTTCACAACGTCAAACAATGGAATAAATTTCAAGACCAGATCCCTCGAGAGCACATAACCGCCTCCTGATATGTAATCTTTGTAAACATTTTCGGGATGATCTTCTTCTGAAACACCGTAGAAACCATGGCGAAGAACAGGGTTTCCATGCATTAAATGTCCAAAATAAAAGTCTGTATTTGCCGTGCCGGTTTTGCTGAGTAACTCGATGAGACCGCGAGTATTTACGAACACGTCATCATCTGTCTTGAGCATGTATTGAAACCTACAGTACTTTGCTGCCCATTCAAATCCTGACTGAATCTTAAACACTTTATTTGTAAACGTTTCAGCGTAGTCACCCTGGATGATGTCGCCAAATATCTGTGCTTCGCGCGAGATGCGATAGGAAATGTCAACGCTTCCAGCTTCGCCGATGAGAAACACCGTCTTCCATTTCCGATGAAGTGCGTTATCCGTTCCCCAGGTATGACGAATAACCATTCGGTCTTTGTATGCTTCAGGAGAGCTAGAGACAAGTATTATGAGGAACAAATCTTGCAGACACTTTGTTCGTGTTAGTAGACGGGTACGATGTTTACGTATTTTAAGCCAAGAGTCAGAGAATGCCTCATCAATTAAGTGATTGTCAACAAAGCCCGTTTTGTCTCGACCGCTTCGTCTGTGAAATGAAGTTCCGCCTGTAGTGAACGTAAACCCACGCTTGCCCATTTGACCTTCTTTCTGCACTTTATACTTCATGGACTCCACATAATTTGTTAGTCCTTGACTAGTGAGCCAAAGTGAAACACACAACATGGAAAGGGAAACGGTAATGCAAAGGAACAAACAAGAAGCCGCAGTCACAGTAAATGGACAAGACGAAGACTTCATCGTGTCAATACTTTGTTCCTTTGAGTCCACGAAAAAAACGGCAATTCTTCCTTTTTTCGAAGTTTCATTAATGTAACTGAATCAGTTCCGCCACCACTGAACGGTTAAGTTTTACGACAGCGCTTCGAAGACCAACCGTCATCCTCGCGACAGTTCATTATGTAAAATATTAACCACGCAATATGTGGTATTAACCAAGATTATGTGACAAAATCTCGCAAAACGAGGAATGCTGAAATTCCAGATTCCTCATTCAACGAATCGTGTCCTAGGCAGCTTCAGTTACAAAACTTTTTCGCTTTCTTTTACGACTGATTACATCGAAACATCAGCGAATTTTTAATCCAGATCAATTGCATAGTAATTAGTCAGATATTGTTTGGGTTGACAGATATTTTTTTTTCATATTTATTGCATTCCCCTTTCTCATCAAGAGTAATTGTTTGAGTTGGTTTTGTTCTGCTATTATTCTGCGCCCTCTAGAAACACTTTTTGTCATTTTAACGCAAACGAAGTGCCTTAACGTTTTTTAAAACCTAATAGTATTAATATCCTCTTCACAGTTGAGTTTGTTGTTGTTATACTTGTATATCACAAAAATCGATGTCAAGTTTTCAAGAAAACAAGTGGGCTTGCCCCAATAAAAGAACCTGTTAAGATTTTATTCGTTTTTTTCAGTTACTACTTCGTTTTCTTATTAAGTCCTGGGGAAATTGTTAAAAGTCTCGAGACGACAAAAAGCATATGAAAAGAGAATCAATTTTTATCATGGCTTCTGTTTTTGTTCGAGTTCAAAAAAGCTCAAAGCTATCCTGTTAGACGGAAAATATCCGAAATCATCAAAAAAAAAAAAAAAACTGACGACAGACGACGGAAGAAAGTTGTTTAAAGAACGATGACGTCAGAATTGGGGCAGAAATGTCCGAAAAGGAACGATGGCGTCCGAAATCGGAGAGGAGTTTCCAGAGTCGAATGAAGGAGTCCGAATTCGAACGATAGTTTCCGAAAAGAAACCTAAAAAGGTCAAAACTGTCCGAAATCGGACTAAAGTGTTCGAAATCACGGAGAACTGTTTGAAATCTGGTTTCGAAAAAGACGGAGAAAATCAGTGGGGCGGGGCCGGGGGCCCGGACCCCCACTTTCTTATTTTGGGTAAAAAAATAAACGCAGAAGGAAGAAAAGCCGGCAGGTTTACACCCCTCCCCCCCCCCCCTTTTAGCTGAAGGTCTGCATCCGCCACTGATATCTACCTTCAATAGCCGTTCTTTCCATGTCGACACGATTTTGTATGTATTTCTGAAAGTAAATTCCTGGCTGGTTTTTCCTTTTTTACCACATGTTTTCACTGGTTTTCGAGAGGATTGTGGCTATTTCTGTCAGAGTGAAGCTCGTATCTTTGGAATTTTGGGCGTGTTCTTCCAGTTCTAAGAATCGGAAAGTGTTTTCTTTCTCTCCGATTTATTTTAATTGTTTTAACAAATACGCTGAGAAAATGGATGTTAGAGCCTCTTGGAAATCATCAGTGCTGTGGAAGTTAAATTCTTACTTTATTGGGGGCCAGTAGCTGTGAATTCGACAGATAAACGACTCGGGTTCCGAATGATTCAATAGATTCAAGTGCTACATTGTAAATAATTTCAGGAAAGAAAACTAAACAACTTCTGCGTCACTGAAGTTTTCTAAGATCACTACCACATGTTTGTTTTTTCTTCGCCAGAGAGCCCAATAACTAGAAGTATAGATGTTCACTATCGATCCTATCCAAAAAGTGAAAAAAAATAAGAGTCCAGACGCAATTCCCGCAATTCCTAAACTCACTGCAGTGTTGCATTCTGATTGTTTACTGTAATGACTGAGAAGGAATCCAATACCGGAAACTTGAACACATACCATCCCAAGAAACAAAACATTGAATATCAGCATGGCAATGTCGTTTGCTTGCATAGGAGGGCATCGCCACTGCAAAGACAGAGAACATGAGATAAAATTATATTTTAAAAAGTTTCACAAATAATTTAACGACAAAGGAAGGCAACGTATACGCAAATTCATGTGAAATCTTGGCATCTCAACTCACATCTGACATGAACTGAAATAAAACAATCAGCTAAGACCTGCACATGTCATCATCATTATAATATATAGACTTAGCCAAGGCTAAAAGCGGAGCTCCCAAGTTCGTAATGTTAATGATAACATAAAAGATGTGCATTTGCCAAGACTCGCCTGAGACACCCATCCCTTCGTTTTGATAGTCTCCCCTACCCTACCCATGCAATCTGAAGGCACGTACGTACGCTCGGTCACTCACGTGACAACCAAACGAAGAGGTTGACCATACTTCATGGGTATGGGGCTCTGCCTCACGCGCGCTTCGCGCGCGTGGGAGCCTCGCTATTAATTCTGAACCACCACAGGTCATCCAAATTACAGGGTTCGTACACTTTTTCAGGTCAAAGATTCAAGGACTTTTCAAGGACTTTCCAGGACCCTACTTAGAAATTTCAAGGACTTTTTGTAATGACAATTTTACCTCAAAACCAAGAAAAATGTTTCTGTTAACATTTATGTTTTGGGTTTACCGATGGTGCAAAACAAAAGCAGATATTTTTCGATGTTGTTCAATAAAAAATCAAAGACTTTCAAGGACCCAAAACGAAATTCAAGTACTTTCAAGGCCTTGAAATCGGCCTCCTGAAATTCAAGGGTTTGCAAGGGTTTTCAAGACGCGTACGAACCCTGAAATTAGTATATACTCAAACAGATGATAGCATCGAAGGCGCGCTCTGAACTCTGACTCTCCTTCGCTATTCACCTCTTAGCATTTGCGCCAGAAAATATTGTAAGCGTTGCAGGAATAGATGAATTTAAATCGTCTTTATGTGCTATATTAACTCTAAAACTATTGTTCACCTATGTCGGTGGCTAACGCTGGATATATGTCTCGCCGTCACTCGCCTCCAATTCGGTGAATAGTGGTTGACTATTCCAAATGGGATCTCTAAGATGAATCTGATTCATTTGGAATAGCCTCCGAAAAAAATGATGGAGAGTGAAGATCATGCTACAACAAAAGAAACGCGACTCTAGTTTCATTTCACCCTCACATGCTGAAATGAATTTGTTACGTGTCATTCAATTTTAGTATTCAGCACTTGGAAGAGTTTCAAGGTTTGGTCAAAAGAATGTTGAAAAATGGAAAACTGTATAATGAAATACCTTTTTGATAGGCTTGTAAACTCGTCTAATGCGGAAACGAAAATGACAAATTGGACACGAGTTGCTGTGGACTGAATTTAACCACAACTCCAAACAAGATTTATGCACTTTTCCCATCGTTCCTTTACACCAGCAAACTTTATGTAAAGGTTCTTGACCTTGGTCCTTTCCACCGGTATTGTGGCAAATCCGACACATCGGTGCATCTTCGCCCAACGAAATGGAGCTTAAAGAGCAGGATACTTGAAGTATCGCTGGACTCTGATAACCAGATGACATTGCAGCTACTTCGCGGTGTTATTTGCAGCGCGTAAATTGTGGGCTAAATCCAGAACGTCACAGAACAATCGATTAGTTACCATGACAGCCTGAGACGAGCGCGCGCTGTTAAGGCTGTCCGCGAAGTTTGAAAAGATGGCTGGATAATTATGTGCGAGGCAGAAAATCTGTCCAACGGTTTTTCTTTCTTTAACTTAGAGACGGACCATGATATAAAAGTGATGGAAGAGAAATATAATTAAGTAAAAAAAAATGATTTCCTAGAGAAAACTTGAACTGGATTTTGTCGAAAACGAGCTAAAAAACAACGAGCAAAAACAAAAATTAAAGTAATCAGTTAACAAGATGTCAAAATGTGTAACCTGTTGATTTATTCCTCTACTTTATACCTAGTAAAGATGTAATAAAGTAGATTTTAAAGCTAAGTTTTTATTTCCATCTTAAGCTGACTCGTGCAGGACATTCATATTGACACTTTAAGGCGCTTAGCGCCAACATCTGAAAAGAAAAAAAAAAGTACAGTATTTTAGCATGTTTGATGAATTGTGTATCACTACCAATGTGGAATAGAGACTCATATCCATGGGAGGAAAGTGGCTGCCCACAACCGAGCCTAGGAGAGAATTGAAAAGCGATGGAGCCGTAACAAAAACTCAAAAAATCACAGCTAACACACTGAAATCTCTGACCCAACAAGCTAAAAGACAGGAGGGTCACTTGCAATTACTGCAACAGGGACTCTACTCTCACAACCCTGGCATTGAACTTATCTGCCTTTCTCAGTAGGAGCTGTTATTCCCAACCCTGAACCATTTCCCTGCAGGGCTTTGATTTCTCGAGATTGTTGTATGCTTATTCATTATTTTCCAGCTATTCTGTGAGCCATAACAAACGAGTGTGTGTGAAACGATGTGACTTCGCGATTTCAAGAACACTCTTCTGCTAGAAAGTTACTCAAAGGATGGTAACCCTGTGGTTTGACAGTCATTTGTCATATAAGTGGACTATGTAAATCGTTTTTGATGCACAGACATACCAGTCACATAGCAGACTTCTACATTAGCTCCAAGAGACTGTAAAACATCCAGCCAGATTTGTTGTTTAGTAGAAAGCTTGTCTCCTGGACCCTTCACTTCAGCAATCTGACGTTGAGAAAAAGAAAAAAGTTCTCTGTTCACCTAAGGTGACATGATGACAAGATGAACATTAAAAAAAATCACCTAATCCATAGCTGTTAGTCTGTAAAGATTTCAGCCACACGGAGAACAACTTCATTGGAGAGCAGAAAGCGCTCCGTCATTGTTTTGGTTTTGCTTTACAAAGCTCTGTGATTGGTCTTGATATACCGCGCCAACTTTGCAGCCAATCGAATACAAAAGTTACACCCAATCATAACTAAATGTAAGTTAAAGTTTTTCGCACAGTTTGCCACGCTTGAAATCGTTTGCTTGTTCTCATTGGGTACCCAAGCCGTTATACTAAGTTTTTCTTCTGGTCTTCTGGTCTTGCAATACTAAAACAAAAGCAGTTTATTGGAAAGACGAACCAAGTTACCATATAATCCAGAGTGGATGAATTCCATACAACCAGATCAGGCATACCCGCGCGACTATAGCGGTATCCTTGAGCAAACTGAGTGAAGATCCCAGACATTATCTGACCACCCAGGCAGGCTACGAGTTGCTACAGAAAGACAAATTATCATTCATAATGCATGTTTATATCTTCAAACATGGATTCCCTGAACCTGACGCAACGTTAATTATCTTGAAGGAATTCCCATTCACATATGTGACCAACCAACACCCAAAAAGAAAAAGAGCAACCAAAAATATCCTTTTAAAACGAATACACTAGTAAATTCACGAGAAAAAATTCCCAATATCATCCACCTACTTGTGCTTGTTCCATACTAGTGAAGCGATCCCAGCTGAGTCCTGCACAAACCTGCCCTTCCTTATCGTTCCAAGCTTTGGCCAGAATGTCCTGAAGTTCCTGCCAGAAAATGTTCGTACAACGAAAAACTTGGTTTAAATAAGTCTTTTGCTTTAAGCAGACCATATTTGACGGACTACTTAACATAATAATCATTACGTTTCGTTTTCATGTAGACGACACAAAGAAAGATTGAATGCATTATCAATCACATGTACCTCAACTGATGCTAAGGAGATTTCCTCCAGCCTCTTGTCGATAATTTCTTTACGACTTTCGTAAAATGCATCACAGCAGAAGTCCAGAGGAGCAGCCTAGGAAAAAAACACAAAGAATTAAACAGATACTAATTTAATTTCTGCAAATAATAAATTAAAAGAAAATATTTGCAGACTTTTCTTCTTGGTTGAAAATAAGCTAATGGATATTACTAAAAGTGCTTTACATTGTGTGCAATTTCAGAAAATAACCACAGGAGATTGAAAAGGAACGAAGTTCCATACTTGGAATGGACTTCGAAAAACATCTGGAATTCCACTTGCAAATATGATGTCCCACGTGAATAAGGTATAAAGTGATGAAAAGGTTGATCCTTCACCATGAATTCCTTGCTCAAACCCCTTCTGGCGATAATAAGACAGAGCATATTCTTCCACTGCACAGAAGGTTGTTGTACCATCAATTACTTGGCCACCTTGATCAATCTCGGGGGCAATGAAAACACCTAGCTCAGCACATCTTGTGCCAGATATAGTGATCTGCAAGGATGGATCCAAAGCAAAACAGATCAACCATCTTATTGTATTTTGAGCAAGCCATTTCAAAACCAAAACCATTGAAAAAATCAAAGTAACACCTACTGAAAGACTTACACTCTTAGATGGATTTGGTTCGTCTAACTCCAGGTCAAAATAATCTTCACATTTCTTCTTCTTCCCTTTGGTGAATGCTGGTGAAGAGAGGATGCGCTTGGCTCTCTGCACCAGGGCAAGACGACGCCCAAATCGCACATGTTGGTCAGAGAGTGCTTCCCTGATGACCTGCATAGCCTTTGAGATAAATAACAAAACACTGATATTGGCCCTCTAACTCATAAGAGGGTTTAACACCTAATTTCTCTTCACCATATCACTGCTGAGTCAAACATCATTTACATGGGAACCACTTAATTGTTAAACACATTCTCTTCATTGGCACTGTAAGAAATATCAGTTATAGAGAACAGTGCAGAGGTTATGGGAACTGAATGCAGAAGTTAGGGTGTAAAGAGTAAATCTTTCATGTCACAGATCAGCCCAGAAAAATTGAACAGGGTGCCAACCCATGGATGTGAAACCCTTACATTTACAATAAGCTGTAACAACATTATTTTTGGTTAAACATTCCAGTTGTCCCTTTCCAATCTTTGTTCTTTTGAAAGTAATGAATGAAAAATGAACAAGGACATACCTTTTCGGGTTTTTTTAAGTGCTGATGCAGATTTAGTGCAAGTCTGTCATACCACCTTCCACGCGAATCAAAGCAAAATATGCTTTGTTGAAGCAGACTTTCAAGTTGCTTGACAGCTTCATCATACTGTCGCCACTTCTGTAACACCTCCACTCCATAATAACACATCTTTGTAATAGCCCACTCTGCAGTAAAGCATCGCAAGTGTTCTGGGAGGAGTGCAGCAGGGGTTTCTGAACAATCTTTCAGCTTGGCCAGAATAACATCAAATTTCTTTGAAGCTTCTGGATAGTAACTATAGGCTTTTTCAAAGTTCTTATCTTCAAGTGCTACTAGCATCTCATACTTCCGCTGACATGCTTCAGAAAATTGGATGAGGCCTTCACGAGAGTGGAAAACTGGTGTTGGTCTATCAATCACATATCCTGGATAGACAACTTTGCCAATATTAGCAAGGTAGAGCATTGACCTGAAAATCAGATGTACAACACATTGCAAAGCATCAGACAACTTACAGCAAGTATTTAAAATTAACTGCAACTGGAGCATACTGGTGACAAAAACTCGGGTTTGTGTGACTTAAAGATTTGTTATTTGAACAAAGCAGCCCTGAATAGACCAGTTATGGTTATTCAAAATTGTAAAAGTTTGGAAGATTGCTAAGTTTTTTCAAGCCCTAATTCAAAAGGAAGGAGCCCCACCAAAATAGGCGAGCAAGAAAAAGAGAAGAGGCTCCCCTTCTCACCCTGGCTGCTCTCTTACTTAAATATCTACTTGAATCATTCAACCATTTTCTTCATTTTAAAAACTGGTATCAGTTGACATTAACTGTTCATTGCATACTTTTGTATGTACTAACAAGAATAGCAAAAGATTCTTACAATTGCTGAGCCTGTCCATTGTTTGAGGTGTCTTCATCATCAGGGCTGACATTCATAGTAAACAACAAAAGAAGGCGGCTGAACACATCTTTGGGATGAGCTGCCAGTCTCACACAACAACCAAGGGCCTGCTTAGCCCTGCAAAAACAAATGAATGGCAAATCAAACCTTCACAAAAGACAATAAATAAACATACTTTGGCTTTTCACTGCTGCACACCAGCAATTTAGCATGAGAGGTTCCTAATCAGATCACTGGACAAGTAAAATGTTGGACAAAAATTGTTAAGATGTAGATCTCACACCTTTACACTTAAACACAGCTTGCTATTAAAAATTGACCATTTACTACAGCTGTAGTCATCTTTACATCTCCTAAGCAAACTACACAAACATGTACTGGTAAATGAAATAAATGGTATCTGTCATGAATACTCAGTCAACAGCCAGATTCTTACAGGTACCTCTTCAAAACCACAGCTTTAAAACTTCCAAGGAGTGTTTTTTGGTGCTCAGCATGGTTAACAATCATTTCTATGGTGTCTTCCTTGGTTCCACCCTTCTGACTTACAGATGTTGATGAAATATGAAGAGTTTTCACCAAAAGTTTTAAGTCTGGAGCCGCTGTAAGATTTAATGCCTCCTGGAGATCTGTGAGATGACTTTCATCTTCTACAAAACCTATGAAGCAAAAGAGGGATGATACATCTATGTGTTATTTTCATTTTGAACTTATTTCTTTTGTTTAATTTATGGGACTGAAAAGAGTGCAGTGGAATCTGCACTCAGTAATGTAACAGGGTGGGAAGTGATAGTAGATAATAGGACATAGGGATGCTACCTGTTCCAGTAGATGTAAGAGTGCAGTGGAATCTGCACTCAGTAATGTAANAGAGTGGAAAACTGGTGTTGGTCTATCAATCACATATCCTGGATAGACAACTTTGCCAATATTAGCAAGGTAGAGCATTGACCTGAAAATCAGATGTACAACACATTGCAAAGCATCAGACAACTTACAGCAAGTATTTAAAATTAACTGCAACTGGAGCATACTGGTGACAAAAACTCGGGTTTGTGTGACTTAAAGATTTGTTATTTGAACAAAGCAGCCCTGAATAGACCAGTTATGGTTATTCAAAATTGTAAAAGTTTGGAAGATTGCTAAGTTTTTTCAAGCCCTAATTCAAAAGGAAGGAGCCCCACCAAAATAGGCGAGCAAGAAAAAGAGAAGAGGCTCCCCTTCTCACCCTGGCTGCTCTCTTACTTAAATATCTACTTGAATCATTCAACCATTTTCTTCATTTTAAAAACTGGTATCAGTTGACATTAACTGTTCATTGCATACTTTTGTATGTACTAACAAGAATAGCAAAAGATTCTTACAATTGCTGAGCCTGTCCATTGTTTGAGGTGTCTTCATCATCAGGGCTGACATTCATAGTAAACAACAAAAGAAGGCGGCTGAACACATCTTTGGGATGAGCTGCCAGTCTCACACAACAACCAAGGGCCTGCTTAGCCCTGCAAAAACAAATGAATGGCAAATCAAACCTTCACAAAAGACAATAAATAAACATACTTTGGCTTTTCACTGCTGCACACCAGCAATTTAGCATGAGAGGTTCCTAATCAGATCACTGGACAAGTAAAATGTTGGACAAAAATTGTTAAGATGTAGATCTCACACCTTTACACTTAAACACAGCTTGCTATTAAAAATTGACCATTTACTACAGCTGTAGTCATCTTTACATCTCCTAAGCAAACTACACAAACATGTACTGGTAAATGAAATAAATGGTATCTGTCATGAATACTCAGTCAACAGCCAGATTCTTACAGGTACCTCTTCAAAACCACAGCTTTAAAACTTCCAAGGAGTGTTTTTTGGTGCTCAGCATGGTTAACAATCATTTCTATGGTGTCTTCCTTGGTTCCACCCTTCTGACTTACAGATGTTGATGAAATATGAAGAGTTTTCACCAAAAGTTTTAAGTCTGGAGCCGCTGTAAGATTTAATGCCTCCTGGAGATCTGTGAGATGACTTTCATCTTCTACAAAACCTATGAAGCAAAAGAGGGATGATACATCTATGTGTTATTTTCATTTTGAACTTATTTCTTTTGTTTAATTTATGGGACTGAAAAGAGTGCAGTGGAATCTGCACTCAGTAATGTAACAGGGTGGGAAGTGATAGTATATAATAGGACATAGGGATGCTACCTGTTCCAGTAGATGTAAGAGTGTAGTGGAATCTGCACTCAGTAATGTAACAGGGTGGGTAGTGATAGTAGATAATAGGACATAGGGATGCTACCTGTTCCAGTAGATGTAAGAGTGCAGTGGAATCTGCACTCAGTAATGTAACAGGGTGGGAAGTGATAGTATATAATAGGACATAGGGATGCTACCTGTTCCAGTAGATGTAAGAGTGTAGTGGAATCTGCACTCAGTAATGTAACAGGGTGGGTAGTGATAGTAGATAATAGGACATAGGGATGCTACCTGTTCCAGTAGATGTAAGTATTCATAAGCCAGGTGCATGATTTGAACAGAGGTTTACCTGCTTCATACCACAATGCTGTAAGCTTGTGGTTAGCATTTATTTGTTGGAAACCAAGGACACCAAGGCATAATGGCCAGGCAGAAGGGAGCTAATCCAAGTTGAAGTCAATGTCAAGCACTTTAAAGCCCCAGAGACAAACTTTTACCATGAAAACATAACTGTACCCTTAGGTCCAGTATTTGTTTTTCAGCCTCCCTTCCCACCCTTATCCCAACTGACACTTTTCTGCAACTGCTGTCTTCCTTACCCCACCTGGGCCTCATATTCCTGCTATTCACCTTGCCCTTTACTCACTTACATTTTAAACCTGCTTCTTGGCTCATGCCAGCAGTCTGCAACTATGCATACTTAAAATTCTATCTTAAATACCACAAGACAACAACATTTGAAATAACAAACTTAACCTTTCTTTCCAAGAGACTTTAAAATTGGTGTCAGATTGCTACTGATCCTTGGGTATTCCAGTTTGCTGCACCTAAACCATCCATGTTTACGCTGGAAAAGACGAATATACAGCTTCTGTTCCTCAGAAGACATGTCATTGAAAGCATCAATTATACCATTGTCTGCTTCATTGAACAACTGCCTGTCATCCTTGTTTGACAAGACACTGTTCAATACAAGCTTAAAATTAGCTAAGTAGTAAGGTTCATGGTCTTTGTCTTTATCCTTGGAGTTTTCAGAACCATCTTCCATTAAGTTTTTGGTAGGTTCAAAAACTTCATTTGCATCATGTGTACTCATTTCTTTCAATCCTAAGTTATCATTACTCTGAATGCATTTTTCTTCCCTTGATAGATTTGCAAATGCATCACATGGTTCCTGACATGCACCAACTTGATCAACATTACAATTAGATTCATTGGATTCAATGACGATGCAGCTTTCTTCATCCAGATTGACAACACTTGGCTTCTTTCCATCCAACTTCTTTGACATTTTCTTCATGAGGGTTACTTCACTTCTTTCATTTGCAGGCTTTAAGATAGAAGAAACACCCTCAAGAGCTAAATTTTTATCCTTTAATTCTGGACTTTTGACACTAGGTTTGAAGCATTCTGATATATTTTCTCTCCTGTCTGCATTCTGGTAACTTGGCTCTGGTGCTTTAGTCTTTGTGTAGCCTGAACTGCATGGAGAACTGTTTTGTGCCTCACCAAGTTCATCAGTTGTAAAATCTTCAGTTACAAGTAGAGCTAAATGAAGTTTACAGTTGTTGTCTAAATGTTGGTTTATCTTGGAAAGAATCACAAGTTTTCCGCACATTGGACAAGAAACAGATTTTGGACTGAATGGTTTCTTAAACCATGTCACTATTCTCTTATTAGCAGGCTTTCCATTCTTATGATCCATGTAATTAACTCCTGCTGTTTCTTTTGTTTTGCTTGAAAACTTGACTTTTTTGTTGCATTGAGAATCGTTTGCGTCTGTATTGTTCTGCTTTGATTCAGTAACTGGAGTTTCATCTAGAGGAAAAACTTCAATTTCAGAGTTTTTATCTGGGGCGCACAACTCACTCTTCGTGTATTCCAATCCGCTGGTTTTTATTTTCTTTCTCTGAGAGAGAGACAGCCTCGTCCTTTTTCGATTCATAGCGTGACGACGTTCACTGATTTGAGATTTCGTTAGATTATGTAGACATAAACTGGAGAACACGCGCGAGGCAACGAAGAGTAAAAGTTCATTGAAAGATGAGATAGTCAACTAAAACGAGATAGTCAACTAGATATGTCAACTAAAATGCTTGCAATCTTTAAACGAAGTTGAAGAAAATTGCAGTGGAAATGAATGGAACGAAATTCCCGCCTTTCGCAAAACCTTCCGCCATTTTGAAATTTGCGATAACAGCACAGCGGTCGACACCAGAAAGCGGAAACGAGGCTTGCTTGTCATCATTTTACCATGAGACCTCGTCAAGTAAAACATGGCGGACAACTTGACGAAAGAAGTATTCGCGAGGTCTTGGAGTTAACCTTCCACTGTGATGGCGCACAGCTCTGCTTCAAAAAGTGGTGACACCACACAGTCACCAGAAAGGGGAAGTAGAATTGAGGGGAAAGTGTCTCCAGCCATGGCAACAAATGTGGAACGCGAACCAGAGAAAAGAGAGGAACAGTTCTTGGCATCTGACAGCTTCTATAGTAGAATGGAAGCGATGATAAAGAAGGGTGACGTCGAAGCAATTCTTGAAAAACAGAAAGAAACGTAAGTATTTGGAATTTTAGAAAATGCCATAATCGTTCAAAGTTCACAAACTTCGGGCCGTTTTTCGTTGTAATGTAATTATATAACTTTTTGCACGTACATGTGTTTTAGTAAACGTGTTCGATTTAATTTCGGCTTCAATTTATTACCGTACATCTTACGCTTTTGTCTGGGCCAGCTGTTGCCCAGAGTGCGTTCATTGTACATATACACTGTGAATATCTGGTGTATTTATTAAAGTTCTGCTGCATTCTGGCTTCCAATCTGATATTAATTTTTCTAAACAGTAGCATGTGATTCTTGAAGGAAAAATAAGAGATAGGATTTTCCATTCTTTTAGTGGTGTTTGACCCATCAAATTTTAATATTAGTGCTGTAACCTGATATTCATATCAGATTTACTGATTGACAGGCTCTCAAAGTTTGAGAAGACCAATGCCAAATTTGGAAAATTCAATGATTTGTCTGCAGCCAGATTTCTGAACTTAAACCACCAACTGAAGGGTCATACCAAGATGTTGATAGAGATGAAAAAAGATTTGGATTCAATCTTCAGAAGAATAAGGTGAAAAATGTAGAGCTTTTGAATTGAACAAATTGATTTCATGTTATTAATATCATGTTAACTTTGTGAAATGATTTCTTTTTGTCCTCTATTTAACAGTTTTTTTTAAATTGATATTTCTATGTTGTTGTTGTTTTGTTAGTTTCTAATTTAATCTAATTCTGTGCTCTTGAGAAATGAGCTATATCCTGAAATGATTCTCTGATAACACAATCAATGACAAATTACTGATTGGCAGTATGATTTTTTATATATACATCAGAACATTAAAGACTAAACTGACAAAGCAGTATGGACCTGCTTTTGAAGGTAAGTTCATAAGCTTCATACAGTTCACTTCCTTAAGTCTGCCTTTAATGTATGATGATATACATGTTTCCCTCAAGATACAAAAACAAAAAAACATTGTAACACTCTGCTGAGCCTATTAACACAGTTGGTCAACGCAAAGGAAAACACTTGAGTTTTGTCTTTTAGAAAGCCCAGCTAGGTTTAAAAGCTAGGTCTACAGTTTTATTTTATACTGGTTGCTGTCATGCTGCATAATGTTTTCATTACCACCAATCAAGGGTTGTTTTTTTTTTTTTTGTCCTTTAGCTATCTCAGCTGGTATACAAAAACTGGAGGAAGAACTTGGTGCTAGTATTGGGAATGAAGATGCTTGTTCTGTTCACACTTTAACAGAAAGCAGTGAGTTTAAATCAGACAATCAGCTTTCAAACCAAAAGGAAGCAACTGGAGAAAAAATTGTTCAACAGAGTGCTGAAGAAGGCACATGTCAAAGTGGCATAAGTCAGCCAGTACCCACTAGTCTTTTGAGAGAGGAAAGCAGTGAAGACCAGTGTACTGATGATAAATCAACTATGAACTCAAATGTGCCTGTGGCATCTACTAATGCTGAGTCAATGGACCGTAAGGAAAATTATCTTGGATCATCATCAAAAAATAAGACAGTTGATACTGAGAGGACAGTCACTAAAGCACCTTACAGTGAGAGTAAGTTTTTTGAGGGAGCATCAAGTGCTCAAAAATTTAAAGACATTACTGCAGCAGGTAAAGTGGACTTGCATGATTTCACCAGGCAAAAGGAAACTGGTGACTCTGAAGTTACAGGGAACAAGGACACAGGTGCAATGAAAAAGATTCTAAATTTCAGCAGTAGAACAGATACACCAGACATAAGTGATACAGATAAGACACTAGACATAGACCCTGGTGAAGACTTTATTTGACATTATGTACTAAGTGCAGATGAGAGGTGCGGCTTGCTACAATGGTAATATGGTGCTGAATAATGAATCATGCTGTAATCTTGTCGAACTTGATGGTGGTAGTCCCAAATAGCCCTCCAGTTGGGACATACAACACCCCTTTCTTTTTTCATAAAGAAAAGAGTAAAAGGAAGAAAATTGCATCTTGGATGCCTGATTGTTTTTTAAAAAAAAATTGAAATATGGACACATTCAATGTTTTCAATGTTTCTCAACATGGTGGAATTCAATTTAAAAGAATACTGCATTAGCTTTTCATAATAAATAATTTATGATGAACTGAAGAGACATTTTTTGTGAGTATCTCATTGAAGATGAAAATGCCCTCGGTCTTAAAGGCTTCCGCAAAGGGCGGGCTGAGTAATCTTAATAAAATGATTTCCTATTTAGAGTTATAAAACCCCCACTCAAGTAATCACAAACAATAGGAGAAAATGAGAATATCATAGGAAATCATAGGAAATCACAGGCGGCCCAAGCGTACTGTGGGTGATTTTGGGATCTAAAAGTAATCAACTGGAATACCTAACATATTGAAATCAAATTTTAAGCGTAAGCATGGGCCGTTACAAAAGAGGAAAAATTATAAAATAGAAAATTAAAAAAAAAGATTAAAAAGGATAATAAAAGTGCTACTGTCTAACTGTGTTAAATAGTAGCACCACATGCGTTGCAAAGAAAGTCGCCAAATAGCGTTAAAACGACCGTTGGCGACAAATCGGCCTCGGAAAAAAGGTAAGTAGACTTGACACATTAAATTCCTCTCTTTTGTTATCTTTTTTAATTTGTCTTTATTTTTGAATTTATTCCTTTTTTAACGGTCCACTTTTAAGCTTAAATTCAATCTTAATATCCCCGTGAATGACTTTTAAACCCCAAATTAAAAAAAAAACAAAACAAAAAGCTTGAGCGACCTGTGGTTGCACGGACTCAATGGAATCCAAATTATCGCATTGGCGAAACATGAAGCGTGTCGACCATGTGGTAGAAATTTCTCGTACTTCCCGCGCGGCTTTTTCTTAAGCCCTCCCGGTCAATCCAACTTGGTGACGTAACCGCGAGGCGAATGAAAAACGGTCGTGACTTAAAAGGATACTCCAAAATCAGGTTTCCGAGTAAGGACTGGAACCTATTATTGCCTATTACTTCATTATTTACCGAAAAATAAATTATTCAGTTCCAGTCCTTACTCGAAAACCTCATTTTGGAGTATCCATTTAAGTCACAACCAATGAAAAACAACGAAAGACCGCGTTTAATGTAAAGGCCTGGGAATCATACAAGCCGGAAGCTAATAAAGTATCGAATGAATGCGATCCAGGAATTTTATCACTGTCAAGCACATCAAAGCCGAAAGGGGCTTTCAGTTTTGGGTTTAATTTACATAAACATCTTCAATGGCTGAACGTCTAGCCTTAGGGTATATTTATTCATAGCCGACATAAATTCTATGGTTTGCAAATAAAAAACCGCCGGCACATAGGCTATCGGCACTTTTAGCAGTCATTAAAATCTGGTTTTCGCACCTTTATTCATGATTGCCTCATTAATATTTCAATAAAATAAGTTAAAGTCTTTTTCTCACTTGAATAAACACTTCTCCGTTGAAAATTCGAAATTTATTTACGATGCCTATCAGGAGTTCTCAAATGCTCTCAGTGTCCTGAAATTTGCAGCCAGAAATGATCTGTTACAACAGATCGGCTGTTAAATTTGTGGTAAAACAATTTTAATATCTTTACGAACGGCGAATATTACACAATTTATCAAATCTTTGTCGGTTCTTCAGTTCTCCTCAAGAAACAATATATTCATCGAAATCCCGTCCTTTAGGAAACGTGAAACTAATTTTGCCTATTACTCGAGGTTATATCTGAAACCAAAAATGGAACCTGACTCTATCAGATTGAAGATTCTTTTAAAAAAAGGAAAGAAAAAGCTTTCGCCAGCCTTAGTTTTTAAGATTGTTTTTGTTTTGCAAACATCCGTTGTACATATATTTTTCAATCCCGAACATCGAAATCCGTCATAACGCCGCAGGCAATAGAGATTTCAGATCGCAGCGTATTGTTCATCAGCAGTTTTGGCGTCTCTAAGACTAAAGTCAAGAGGCGAAAGTTTTTGTTTGTAATATTTAAAATAGGAAGAACAATCAGCAACTTCGATCTTTCATGCCACGATCACAGCTCGGTATCCAAAACGTCTTCTGCAATGTCTTCATTAGTTACGAACTGCACGCCCTGTTGGATTCTTGAATCTTTTCCAAACGTTTTTACTTCAGACGATGGCGTCAAAATTCCTGTCATGTTATTTCCTCTGCCTTTACGTTCCATCCTAGTTGTTCCCCTCCTTAAAGGGCACAAACCCAGTGCCTGTCTGAACTCAGGAATCCTCAGTACATACACGACTGGATTGACAAATGCGTTGGAATAATTAATAACATTTACCATGAAATATATTTCATGTGATATCGAACTGAAGCTAGTTAACATTATCCAAACGTTCGTAATAACTAACGGAAGCCACGAAAGTAAAGAAATAATTGATACAAAAAGTAGAGTTTTTGTCAAGCGTTTGTTTGGCGCAGATCTGTTCCGCTGCGAGGCGAGACTTCCCCGTCGAAGTTTCTTCCATATGCATAAGTTACTGGAGCAGATTACAAGAGTTAAAATCAAGATATACGGCGCCCAAACAAATATAGAATATTTGGGGGTTGAAACTGAGAGCCAAAGTCCACTAAAGAGCCCAGAAATAAGAAAAGCTAAGATCCAAACCAGAATTACAGCAACACGATGTGCCCTCATTAATGTTCGGTGCTTGAGAGGCCAGTATACTGCGTAAAATCTTTCACAGGATATGAAAGCTGCAGAAATTATCGAAGCCTGGGTAAAGATGCTGTCAATGAACGTGTAGTACCCAGATGACAAGAAATCCTTCAATTGATTCGTCCAAAGCTGGAAATAATCCCCAACAAAGTAAACGTAAATGGGCAAACATAATGTTCCAACCATAAGGTCAGCAAACGCCATGTTGATAATTAGGAATAAACTCTTCTTACGAAGTTTCTTGTTAACTGCAAAGAGAAAAAGGGCAAGAGAGTTTCCTGCGACGCTGAAAACGGAGGTCAAAATGAAAGAGCTGCACAGTGCAATGCCCTCTGCCTTGGAAGGAGATATCTTTAGACTGGTGTTAAATGCTAAATACGATGTATTGTTCACCATTTTATCCAGGATTTTGCCGAAAAAAGCGCCGCAAAACTATTTATGGCTATACCGGCTGTCCTACAGGCTCATGGCAAATCTAGAGCAACATGGCGGTATTCTGGTGCTTTTAGCCGGGTTTTCAGTTTGAATTGCTTGAATGTTTTCAGCTGGCTTTTTTTTCTCTGGCTACCCAGTGTGCGGTTGGCTTAATTATGATGTTTCCGGCAAAATTATTAAGTAAAATGCGATTAGCAAACGAAGAAGTCATATCACTGATTCGTTTGACACAATTGCAATTTAAGAAGGGGAGCTCTCTTATCTGAAACCGAAAATGTCCGACAGTAAAAACCACAATGAGGTTTTTTTTGGATAAGGTCATTAAAAAGTACAATGTCTATTTGATTTTGGCAAAGTACAACTGATCGCTTGAGATTGAAGTAATTAGATTTTACGAGTTGTTTGATTGCATTGTTCGCAGTCTGCTGGTAAGACACTTAAGTCCTTCTTGAAATAGCCAAAAAAAGAAAACAAATATCATCGCACTCTTACATTAAGACTGAGTGTTACGAAATTTAAATATGTATCGTTCTGTATTTTCCAGCATTCGCGAGAATTTAAGAGACGCGTCCATAGTCTAATGCTATATGAATAAGTAATGAATTACGCGCAGAGTCGTCATAAAACCTCAAATCGACATACAGCAGTGGAACCGGCTGATATCGATCTCGTCTGGCGTTTAATTTGCAGTTAAATATAGTTTTCAATGTTGACGACCAGACTTCGATGAAAGATAGTGTTTTATGTCAGTGTGCGGAGTCATTGACTGAAAAGCATGTCCGGTAATATCTTTTTCCTAGAATCTTCGTTACCCTTGTCCAGCGGAACGCTTGCTAGAGGGTCGTGTCAGAGACAAAATCTTTGTGGACAACATGACTGGCTGGTGAAAACAAACATCGAAATAAATGCACAAGTCCAAACAAACTCTGTCATTCAGAGCCTTATCATTCGAAGCGCTGATCAGAAGTAGCTGGCGGTTTTGTGTGGGCTTTTAATCATCAAGCGGCTTCGCCCCCATCGATTTTTAGTTCACACAAACCCTCCAGTCACGTAAGCCAAAAGTATTGCAGCTCTGGGGATGATTTTAGTTGAGTCGGTAATGACACATACGTAGTACTGTGCAATGAACGATAACCAAATCTGCGAACTACTTGTGCGACTAAAATTCATCGCTCAAGATCATGTCGTTAATATGCGATTATTTTTCCAATGAAAATGTGACAGCTCACGGTTGTGGCACTTACAAAATTATTTGCGAGAAGGACCGTCGTGATAAACTTTAATTGCAAAAAGTTTACTTTTTTAATTGTATTTTAGAAAATTAAAGGAAAAAAATCGAAATAGAATCGGTTCAGTTTTGGTCTTTGTAAAAAAAAAACTATACTTAAATCAATCTGAGTCTAAGAGAATATCCCTCTCAAACGAATTTATATTTCTTAACGACTTCGTTTCTCACGATGAATGTTATTCTGATTAGGAATTTACAGATGGCCAGTTTTTATTTTTCAAGACAGACGAGCCTTGTCAAATCCTTTATTTTCTGTTTTTTGCTATTCCTCTTCTACTATTTTTCTCTTTATTTGGTTTTCATTAAGAATAATTTTGCATTTGATGTATACCCAAAGCTTTATATCACTTTTTATTTCAGAAATAATTCGAAACCACATCTGATTCCACCATTTGTTCTACTAACGCCGATGCGAGTGTTAATTTATTTATCTTCAATTTACAAACAGGCGGCTTGATAAAAACTAAAAAAAAAAAAAAACAAAAACAGCTGTAAAAACAAAAGTTGCTAGCGCTTAAAACTCTTGACATCGAAATAAGCTCTCGGCTGTAATTTGAAAGCCATCTCAGTAAGGGGTCACACTAAACTGATCAACATGCGAGAAATTAAAAGAAAAACATTGGCTGTAATAAGACATTTGTGCATCACTCGTCTTCCATCTATCCTCAGTATTGTTTTCTCTTCTCACTCAGTATTGTACGATTGTCTTTCCATAAAATCTCAGGATGAACGATATTTCTCTTCCCAATTTTAGCATGAAAAATTACCAGCCAAATTCATCATTGAATGGTTACTTCAAGGCAGAGGGAATCATTTGGTGCACTACTTTTACAATCACTTTTGTTTTAGTTGTAGCAGGAAACATTTTTACAATTGTTCTCTTTGTTATGAACAAGAATATTCGCAAGAAAAGTTTGTTTCTGGTCATCAACATGGCATTTGCTGATCTGCTCGTGGGAGCTGTGAGTTTGCCCATTTTCATTTACGATGTCGGAAGCTATTTCCGGCTGTGGACGGTCGGGACTTGGGAACTGTGGAGCAACAAGCCTCTATCTATTTTTTTCATGATCGTTGATACAGTTTTCTCACAAGCCTCACTTATTTCTGCGGCCTTCATATCCTGTGAGAGATTTTACGCTATATACTGGCCATTTAAGTATCGAACATTGTCAGCACGCGCGTACCGCATTGTTATTTTTACAACATGGACATTCGCTCTGCTTATCTCTGCTATATGGACCGGATCAAACCTTTTATTTTCGTTCAAACACACAATGTTAATTTGGGGGCCATATACTCTGATTCTCACGTTAACCACATGTGGCTGTAACATTTTTATTTGGAGAAAGTTTCAAAGAGGAAGTGTCGTCGTTTCACATCGGCAAAACAGAGAGTTGCAAAGCAAGCGCTTGACAAAGACATTGTTATTTGTATCTGGCCTTACTTTGCTGGCATGGTTACCATTGGTTGTATTAAACTTGTTGATATACGTCTGGGCATTTCCTGTGCAGTGGAAATTCTACCTCATGGTGAACCTTTTCAACTACTTCAACTCTTTTGTCAATCCAGTAGTTTATGTGTTAAGAATTGCAGAGTTTCGACATGCAATGGCTCGCTTTTGCATCGGAAGGAGAAGAAATTACAGGCACCAGGCAAACGATTTAACGAGTATGGAGTTGAACTCGCCAACTGCTTTCATTTATGAATTGGCGTTTGAGCAAGAAGTAATGGATACACAGTTGTAACTGGTATTTCGGGATCTTCAGATGTTCCGTGGCATTTTCTTTGGTTATTTCACATTCGGTTTATCAAGTCGGAAAGGAGAAGGGCTGAATTAAAAAAAAGGCTTAACATAAATAATAACAATAATAAATGTCTGGATGCTTTTTACAACTAAAAGAAAGAGATCTCACGAAACAGGTACGTTTTCAACGCCCTTTTAAGACTACCAATAGAGTTGCTTTGTCTAATGGCAAGCGGTAGCTAATTCCATATGTTGGGGCAAGTTGCCGCAAAAGATCCATCTCCGTAAGTAACTGTAGTAGTCTTAGGGATAACTAGAAGGTTGGAATCACTCGAAAAAAGAGAGCGACAGGAAATATCATGATGTAACAGTTCATTAATGTACACTGGAGCAAGGCCATTAATCAAAAGTAACTCAAAAATTATTCTGTCACGAACAGGAAGCCAGTGCAATTTTTTTAAAGCGGGAGTAATGTAATCAGTCTTCTTCATGTACACAGTTAATCTTGCCGCGGTATTCTGCAATCTCTGAACTTTCTCAATTTCACGGAAGGGAATTCCATAGAGCAAACCATAACAATAATCTAATCTCGATAAAACGAAGGCATGGACAATGCGCTCAGTATCCGCTTGCGAAAGATATTTCTTTATGCCACCAACCAAAAGATAACGCCCAGGAATTTATATAAATGTCAACAATTTTACTTCAGTTGTAGCTCTTCTTTCGCAGTCGGATTGGGTAAAAAGTCGTCACCTAATGAATGAAGCGAGTTTATGTTACTATCTGAATAAAGGCTGATAGTTTCTAAAGAAACTGTTTGGGGCTGCGTCGGTGGGGGTAACGAAATAATTTGGATATATCAACAAAGTTGAAATGGTAAATTGGCCACCGTAACGATTACAAAAGTTGACGTTTCGAGCGTTAGCCCTTCGTCGGAGAGAATAGAGGAATTATGGGTTGTATGTACTTTGAAAGGCAGAAAATGGAGCTACGTTATTGGTGGGGACATGGCAACGAGAAAAACACGAATAAATTAGTGCAATGAAAAGCGTTCGTTGATCCCTGTAGTTTAGACTGCCGGTTTGAAAGATGCATGAGCTTTTGTTCAAGAGTTTTACGGCTTTCCGTGCTACTTAAGTGTAAGGAAAGACCGCAAATTGCCATATGTTGCTTAGAATGATTAGGTAAATTAAAGTGTCTAGCGACTGGTTTCGATGTGTCCTTGTCATTCCTTTCCACGTCGCGAAGGTGTTCTCGGAATCGGTCGCCTAGTCTTCTGCCTGTTTCGCCGATGTATATCTTTTTTGCAATAAGTGCAAGTTATGCAATAGATTACATTGGCGGAGGTGCACGTGAAGTGATCGGTGATCTTAATGGATCGTTTGGGTCCCGATATTTTATCAGTGTTGTGAATGAAAGGACACGTTTTGCATCGTGCACGAG